TTATTGAGAATTAATTTACTGAAGAAGCCAACTAAAAAGTGGTTTACTTTATGTATCTAGGCAGACTCCTACCAAATACTTACCATATGCCAGACACTATAAACCATATCAATAGCAACTAAATTAAATCTCCAAAATGCTGTGGGGTAGGAAGTATTATTATCCCCCATTTCACGTGTAAGGAAGATGAAGCAGAAAGAAGGTATGAAAGCTGACCACAGTTACGCAGCTAGTATGTGGCTGAACTGGGATTCAAATCAGGTAATCTAACTTTAATATTTGTGCCCTAATCTGTTACAGTCAATTACCTCTAAAATAAGTTACAATGAACATATTATCTTTAAAAGAATTGGCATGTGAACCAATTCATTTGAAAGGAAGGCAATATTGCAAAGTGAGCAGCATTGTCTCCTGTTGGTATAAAAAGCACTTGCATATAATAAAACATTGTCCCTTAAAGCTGGAAATTCAGCAAAATGTCAGTGGGATAAAAGCAAATTTTTTGACCTATATAAATTTTCTATTATGTCTTTTGTCAGAAAGGATGTTTCCATAACAAATTGAATCATGAGTGAATAGATAGTAGCTTTTTAGCAAAGAAATAACTTTTATATCCTTTTACATATTTCATTAAGACATTTCTTTCAACAATTTCCTTTCTATAACATAGAGAAAAAATACCTAACCCTATTAATTCATGGGTAGCAAAGATGTTCCTGTCTTTGCTGGTCTATAAACAGTAATTATGAAAGAAGGAAGATGAGCTGTCAAACCATAGTGGCATTATCTTGGCTTGATTACCCCTCCCTCTTATGCACATAATATGGACTCTATAACTACAGAGCAAAAGATGTAATGCCGCACCAAAGAATATTTGTAAATCATGGTATCTCAGCTAGTAAAAATCCACCTGCAAAGCAGGAGACCCCAGTTCGATTCCTGGGTTTGGAAGTTCCCCTGGAGAAGGGATAGGCTACCCACTCCAGTATACTTGGGCTTCCTGGTGGCTCAGATGGTAAAGAATCCACCTGCAGTGAGGGAGATCTGGGTTCGATCCCTGGGTTGGAAAGATCCCCTGGAGGAGTGCATGGCAACCCACTCCACTATTCTTGCCTGGAGAATCCCCAAGGACAGAAGAGCCTGGCGGGCTCTAGTCCATAGGGTTGCAAAGAGTCAAACACGACTGAGCAACTTTCACTTCACTCACATATTGTCAAGCCAGTTTTCAAGTGGGTGGGGTAAGTAATGGAGTATTAATTAGAAGCTAATAGAATGAAATCATACTGCTCTAGCTTGCCAACGATATTACCTGTGTGTCAAAAAGAAGTGTCTGCGACCAGCATGCTAGTATTGCATGCCAATAATCTGAGCAGGTGGTCAGTAGAGATGATCACTAGCAGCCAGATCTATTCCCCCGTGAATAGCTTGGTAAGGTCCAGGCACTAATGTCTTAGAAATTATTTTACTTCAGATTGCCAGGATACCTGTTCCTAAAGCCAAGGAAGTGTTTTAGCAGTTCTTTCACAAGGTGGGGATGACTGCCTGTGTTCAGAATTTTTTAATCTGTTTTATTAGATAAACTCAAAATATCTACTTTATGGGATACATTTAAAATATCTGTTAGGTGCCATCTTTCTTCTTTACAAACAGGATAATTGAAAGCATTGTTTTCGTAGAATCTTCTCAAAAGACCACATAATCACCATTTAAATTAGCCTTACTTCATTTCACATTTGCTTATTTTACTGTTAAGTTTCCCAGAACTGTATTTTTTTTTACAATTAGAACATCTGAATTTTAATTACATTACCATCAAGAAGCTCATTAAAGTCACTTAATTGGCAACATTTCAAAGAAAACCTTAGCTGCGTTTAATATATTTTAAAGAGTTACTGTCAAAGTATAATTTCACCATTACAAACAGCTTGGCAACAACATTTGCATAAAGATCTGTCAGTTTCTGAAAAATGCTCAAATGTTGGGAAAATCAGATTCGTTAAGTCGCCTTCACTGAAACAGTCTAGAAATTGAGAACTTGTCACAAAAATTCATCTTTGTAACCCCTGCAGGACACAGAATACTGTTGTGCACAGCATAGGTACTCAAAAAATGTTTATTGAAGGTAATAAATCATACATGTCATACTTTGGAGAAGGTTTGAAAAAAAATTAAGCCTCAATAAAGGTTCCCTCATTTGTATCAAATTTAGCAAGATACCCATTTTCTTACTGCTTCTTTCTCATTCATGCTAACAAATATACGATGGCAAGTCAGAATTTTGAAACCTTTTGAAATACCTCTAAGGCCAGCATGGCAGGATTAAAATTTGAGATTATTTTGAAATGGCATCATTTTTTATTTATGGTTTTCCTCTAACACATGCAAGAATCCCAACCCCAGAGTCCTGATCTCATTTAAACTTGCACTGTAGTTACATTCATTTCTTACAGACTTTAAGCTCTGCCTAAAGATATGCATACTGTTTAACATACATATCTTTTTTTGGGAGAGGGTTACCTATAGTACCTAAATCAGGGACTTGCAATTGCATTTGTTGAATGAATGCAGGAAAATATCAAGTTTGCAATATATGAAAGATTATTATACCCTGCAGGGTGAATAAATATGGTGGGACAGCCTCCTTTCCAAATCTCATATGCAAGAATAAAGTGTGGCAAAGGATAGTTATTATTCTAATTCACTTCCTGCAAATAGAAACAATAAGATGTTTAATCATCCCTTTAAGTTTGGTATTTTCTACTAAAACCTTTGTACTTTATGTACCTCTTATTTTCCAACCAAAACAAAAATCTGGTAAATCTGCACAAAATGTGAATGTTAAAGAAAAAATTACAAAATAACCATGTCACTCTCATTGCTTCCTTGCTCTGCACTATGTCCTCAAAGCCTTGCATAGTGTCAGGTATATAGACAAACTGGACAAACTTTTTTTGAATGGATAGATAAGTACATAAACACACACAGTCCCAAGGAGCCGCTGGATAATTCTGCCTGAGGAGTTAGGGAAGTTTGCATTAACAGTGATGTAGAAAGCCTGAGTCTCCTATGAACACAGAGTTGAGTTTTTCAACCATTCATCGGTTGGCGAGCCTATGCAATATGCTATGTTCCAAGATATAGTCTGTGAAGATTCCTCTAGGATAGCACCACTGAATAGTACTTTCTGTGATGATGACAATGTTCCACTTTGAATATCCACAATATTATTTACAGACCACGGAGAATCCTTAGAGATTTCTACTTGGAGAAAATGGCAATCTGTCTTATAGAAGTTACCTCTACAGTAGTGGGAGCCAAGTCTTGAGACTGGAGATGACTTTTTGCACATTGATATTATATGCCAGCTTCACATATTTCACAAAGACAGAAAATAAGTGAGGGTAACAAGACTTCCTTATTATTTGTAATTGCCCTGGTATCTCCCTTGATAGAGTGTCAGGCAATGACTCTTGGCTAGTCTTCATTTCCTAGTTGTAGAGAGCAAATGGGGAGTGAATTATGTAGAAATGTCTTGGGTTTGCTTTGCAGACTGCTCCCTGTGGAAGAGAAAATGACAGCAGTAACTTCCCTCTGACTCTCAGAGCATCAACTGTTGCATAGATGTGTAGAGGGGTGATGGCCAGTCCTGAATCTGTAGGGGTGTTGCCCGGGCTCCCTGACATCCACAACGTGCCCTTCCTGACAGGTGAGGTGGGACTCTGAGACCTGAATGGGATCATGATTTCAGAAAGTCATAGGAGAAAGAGTTCTGGACTGAGAAAGATGATCTTTGACTGCCCTCCCCCCCACCCTTGCTGCTGTAAGTTTCCAAGCCTCTTCTGGTTATAGAGCATGACAGAGGTTGAGGGTCTCCTATCTACCACTGTAAGGATCAAGCCATGGGTGGGGAGAAATCATCCAGGGTAATCCAATGCTGGGAACCATGTCAATGGAAATTCCCCTCATCGGTGACTTCAAGGATACTTTCAATATTCGTATAAGAGATACCTTATGGTGACCTGGTGTGGACCTTTTTAATTCTATGGTCATCACAGAGATAGCACACTGTCTGTGTTTCTAATTGACAGGGACAGTTACTGGCAGAGCGTTGCCTTTGGGATTGCAGACATCATGGCACTTCTGGTATGTTTTTCTTTTTCAAATAAACTTATAGAACAAAAACCCCAGAATAATCCCCTAGATGTAACATTTTCCTTCTCTAGCTATTGATGTCCATTTTGTTTAACTTTTTGTTTTATTTAGTTTGGTGTGGCGTAGCAATCTGAAAACAGTTATCATTACTCATTCTAAAAAGGGATCTAAAATAGGAATGTTTCCAAATTTGAAGCATTTCTTAAAAGGAGCCTGGATTCAAAATTCTGACTTTATCTTTATCAAATGCTTTTGACAATAAGAAATCTTCTGGAAGAAATTTAATAAACATTCCTTGGAAGGGACAGCACAGAGAGCAAACGTCAGGGTGCCTCTACAAAATGTATCGCCAACCTGATTTCTGAACAATGATTTTGCACACTCGGAGCTATTTTTTACCAGCATTTGGAACTCTATTTACAAAAATCCAAAACTGCTTCTAGATTCTTCTCCTCCATGACCACTCTATTGTTCAAGCATTTGCCTAATACAAGCATTTCTTTCTCTGACAGAAACTGTAACCTGAAATGAACGAACACAGAGAAAATAATAGCATTTTAACTTCTGATTTTATTCTTTTCCCCTCAAATGAACAGGTAATAAAACACTGTTTGTGTCCAAAGCAAAAGGCAGGGCCTCCTTTTCCCTTCTTTCACAGAGTGCCAGAAAATGTAAACAATATTTAGGTTGAACTTCTGAGTCCTCTGAATCTTCTGTCAGCCTTCAGAACAACATTCGTGTGTTTGTTTATACCAACATTTAACAGCATAAAGAGTGAAGCGAGCAAACGGTCTGAGGCGTTTATAGGAAGTGTTCAGATTGTGATACAGTCTTTTATCTGTATCGCTTTAGTCTGACAAAGAAAAACACTGCTTTAGGAAGTGGGTCATGTGGGTGTATAAGTGCTTCGTAGATAGGCCGGATATGCCATGGTTCTGGTCCGAGTACCACTGAAACACAAGGGGAAGAAACTTATTTTATTCCTGCGACTACACAGTGCATCCGGCTTTGACTATTTTGTGCTCTCAGAACCTGGTAATTTTTCTAGTATTACCATTGAAATACCTAAGAATACTTGTATAAATAAAATAGTTTACATCTATACATGAAGAACAAGAAGATTGAAAGCCCTTTTACTTTCACCATTGTTTCATATTTTTTAAACCTACATGTGAGATAACATCGGGGTGGTTGAGCTTTCACAGTTTCCAGCACACTGGGATTCCGAGCCCAGGTTCCAGAGCTGGGGTGCTGGGTTGGTTACTTTGAATTTCCAGAGCTTGGTTTCCTCATTTGAAAAATGAGGGGGTTGGATTTCACTTCCTCTAATGCCTTCTATCTAAAAAATTCCATGAAGATTTTAGCCTCTGAATCTAATTCCTCTCTATTGTAGAAAATTCACAATACATATAACCATAAACATCTTTCATAGGAGTTAAAAATAGTATTATTAAAAAAAAACCAGGGAGATGGTATTATGGATTTAAATTTTATTGCTGGAGAGATGCCAGTAAGATGATTTTCACTGAATAAACTTGGCTAGTGGTTATTGATGTAATACTATATTCTTGTGAGTTGAATGCACTTTAAGAGTCACAATTTAAAAAATGGTAAAGGGGATAAAAAAAGACCAGAAAAGTCTCACCTCACCCTCTGTAAATTATTTTAAGAAGCCAAATTTCTGAAAGAAGGAGGGTTTCCTTTTCTGGGTTCTTGTGCAACATAAGCAAGAGAGGGAGAATTGGAGAAGGGGGACGGAACCACCAAGGATTGTCTCCCTTGACTTGGGTTTTGCCTTATTTTCCTCTCTGTCTCCATTTCCCATTCCTCAAGCAACTGGATTTCACACCTAGCTCATTCATTCATTCAGTCAGGGAAAATATGAGCTTCTGTGATGGGACAAGCACATGTCAGTCCCTGAAAACACAGAGGTGGAAGGATTCTCTAGCTCTTAGTGGAACCGCATGATTTCTGGGAGCCTCTGAGGTCTCTGACAGCCTTTTGTGATGGCTTCTTACTGAATAAACAGAATCATCTGGCTGCTTTGAGTTTACAGGGATTTGAAGCACATAGCTACACTCAGTATGTAGGACCATAGAACTGCTGGATGTTTGAGCTAGAAGAGCCTCTAATCTTGTGGATGCCTTTATTTAATATATGACTGGACTGGGGTCAGCAGAGGTGGCATCGTTTGCCTAGTGGCCCTCAGGGAGTTCATGGAAGATCCAAGAGTCATTTGCTAATGTTCTGCCTACCCTATTGAATAGCCTTCTTGTCAGGTTTTAGCAAAAAAAAAAAAAGAAAGAAAGAAAGAAGAAGAAGTGTCCTCCTTTTAGCTTAGGGGTCTAAGGCCATCAACTTGAATAAAATGAAATCATGTACCATCGCCTGGAAATCCACTTGTGCATTAACCAAAGCTTTAGCAATCTGCGCTGAGTTTTGAAAGTGCACATTATCTGCAACAAAGAGAGAGAGTTAAAGTGCTGTTAAATACCAGAAAGCAGAGTGACAATGTACTGCCTGGAAATGAACACCAACAATTATCTAGTCATGCAGTTGACATTGTCAGCAGTGAGTAATCACACTCGCTTATGGAAATGTCCCTGACTCTTAGGTACTGACCCTGAGCACAGGCATAGGAGGATGCTTAATGTTTCTTAAACAAAGTGATGCTGGCTCAGTATTTTTATGTGTAAGAGTCTTGCTTAAACCTCACCATCTGCTGTTCCGTGGATGAGAAGATAGTCTACATTTCTGAAATATTCTGCTCTTGCCATCACAGTTGAATTCTGGAAAAGGGGAAAAATTAACATTTTAGTTGCTGCAAGTTCTAATAGAAAACTAGCTAAATCATTGTGCAATGGACTTAGCACCAATACTGAAATTATGTATTGCTTTGGTTGATAAATATTTAAGAGTCAGAGCAACACATTTTCATCATCATTTGCATTACTTCCATCTGATTCTTAGTTTGAAAAACTGAAAGTTTATGTGTCATATGTTACATATGAGTGAGACCTTAGGCATAAACGATGCCCGCTCAAGCTGTGTAGGGGTTGGGGGTGGGGAGGAGGATGAGGAAAGAAAAAGTAGAATCCAAAGGGAGTTAATTCCTTTCTAGTAAGGTGTTTTACAGCTGACAAAAGATCATCATATTTGCTTGTGGACCCAGCCGAAGTGTAAAGTCTGAATGACTGCTTTACAATTATTTAGCACATATGAAATAAATTAATGACCTAAATAAAACAGAAAATGCTTACTTTATAGTGCTTGAGATTATCATCCTTTGTTGGGAGGCCCATGAATCGCTCTGTGTAGATAGATGCTGTAAAATATGTAAGAGCATGAGGTTTGCACGTGATAACTCAGGCTAGATAGTGTATGTATTAGTCTCTCAGTCATGTCTGATTTCTTGCATCCCTGATAGGTTCCTCTGTCAATGAAATTCTCCTGGCAAGAATACTGGAGTGGGTAGCCATTCCCTTCTCTAGGGGATCCTCCCAATATAGGTATCGAAACTCTGATCTCCTCCATTGCAGGTAGATTCTTTACTGTCTGAGCCACCTCCTTAATCTCCCAGCGGGAGCTGCTGAGGAAAGGTCTTGTTTTCCTTTCTGTAATGCTCCACCCTAGTCATTTGCTCTTCTATTTGTCTCAACAAGCCTGGAGAAGAGATGCAGGAGAAGATTACGGAAACAGGAGCACCTAACAATAGAAAGGACAGCTCTTCAGTTTTTTCACTTCTACCCAAAGTTCTTTGATGGGGGAAATGTTGAGCTAGGAATGACCTCATTACATTTTAAAAGAAATCACAAATGCAGCCAACTCTAGTACTCTCATTGGTCTCTTAATTAATTTGGGATAGAAATATGTCCCCCAATTCCTCCTCACCCTCCAACACACTTTTTCCTCTGAATAAAGATTCCCAAGTCACAATTCTCTCACTTTCACCTCAACACAGGGAAGAGGATGTAATGAAAGCTAATTTTTGTGTGTTTATTATAATTAATTCCAAATAGTCATCCTGCATTGATGTTAATCATAAAAATAGGCACATGGAAGGTATACTTCTCAAACAAATTTTTTGTTTCTTTGACTTCTGGAGTAATGTAACAAGCAGCTGCAAACTGGTTGTGTGGTGGTGAACTACTTGGCTTGGCCTGATTTTCCCTAAGAACTGCTTAAAAGCCAGTTTGGCTGCACCTGTGTGTCTGCACAAACAGAGTTAACTCTGATTTTTAAAGATTTGGTTCATCAGGGAGCACAAGGTTTCTATGAGAGAATAACATTCATTGGGTTTTGGAAGAACACTTTCTTGTCTTAAGATTTCTTTGATTGTTGCAGCATGATTATAATGAATCATATAAACAACCTCATTTATAGATTATATTTTTCCCAGTGATGCTGGGGTGAATTTTACTGCATAATTTGTTTTCCTAGCAACCTTAAATATAGAGTAATTATGTGTTAAATGTTTTTGCAGCAACATTTATGAAATGTTTCCATACCGTAATATTCCCAGCTGGAGACCGGAGCCACTGCTATCCCACATTTGAAAAGACCAGTTCCTGAAGCAAGGGCCAGCGATGAAACATAACCTCCATAGGACTGTAGAGACATTGTTAGGAGTCAGTCCCAGATTCACTCTCATAAACTCTCCAACATATTTGTATAATGATTCTACTCACAATACATGCTGATGGGAGCTGGGGAATATGGATTGGGTAGATTAAATGTCTATCTTGCACTCTTGGCAGCAAGTTCCAAGAATTTCATCCTAGTCAATCACAAACACTTGGTGTGCTGATCAGAACATGGAGGGGGCAGTTTAAGAGATAGATACAACTGCAATTTTCCTGCAAAAATTTCTTTACCCATGCCTCTATGTTTTTACAACCAGGACCTTGCTATGGCAAAAGCAGAATTTTACTCTAAAAAAGTGCACACAAAAAAAGATCATTTCCAAATGTAAAAGAAAGATACATTCCACAATGTACAACGGTAATGTGAGGCAGAACTTATATCTGTGTATATACTTAATCTGTTTTCAAATGAGAACATCAAGAGAAGGACACAAGAACCTTTTAAGTAGTTTAAGAGATGGCCAGAGTTTGTATATACATATTCTGTTTTGCAAATTTCTGGCATAGCAGCTCAAAGGAGGAAAAGCCATTGGTGCCTTAACAAATCTTTCTTGCCCCTACTACCTCAACTTAATGGGAAAACAAACACAAAAGGAGATACAAATTGCAGAGTCTGAAGCAGGTTTAACACTCATCACTTTTCTTTACCAGGGAATCAGTAGGTGATTCAGAAATGTGACCCTGATAACAGAAGGATGTGTGTCTGTGTCACTTGGAAATTTGAACCTTTTCCTGAAAATGAAGAAATGGACAGAGAACTTCATAATAAAGCTGCATCTTCCCCCAGAAGGCAAATTCTGTCTACCTGTTGGGAGAGAGATGCTTCCTCCGTGCACATGGATTAAGCAGTGTCCTGGTCATACTCCCACCCTCACCCCTACCAATGTCTGTGCTAGATTAGGATGTGTTTATTCTTGCCCCAACACAGGAACATCCCTACAAATCAAAAGAGGACAATGTGGCTCTCTAACGAAGGGTGTGCCTTGTTATTACCACAAACTTCTGGGAATGATCTGCCCTAAGGTCAGGAGAGCTCATATCATCTTTTGCCACAGAAATGTCAGTCTTAAGAGAGAGTAAGGGAGAGACAGAAGACAGACATGGTGAAATCAGGCAGCAGGTCAGTGGCCGGCGTCTAGTCTTAATCCATGAAATACATGGCCTGCAGGGATCAGCTAAACCCTCTTGCTGAATTCAATTGTTAGAGAAAGAATGCTCTAACTAGTTTACAGTTTTCTGTTTCCATCTCCAGGGAATCTTACTGAGGACCCTTGGCTACAAAACACAGACTAAAAGAGGCAGCTCCAATTATACCGTGGCCTCCTTTCATTATACTTGGAGGAGAACTAAAACGTATTTTAATAGAGGAAAAATATATTTTAAAAACAGAAGGAAAATGTGGGTTTTAAAGTCATTTTGATAAGTGAAAATTCTCATCAGGATCAAACTTTTACTTATAAAAATAATCTGTTTGGATTAGTAGGTTAGCAACACTATTACTGAAATGAAAGATTTCTTCATTCTTAATTTTAGATTTAAATGCATGTGGAGTAAGCCTGGGAGAAGGAAATGGCAACCCACTCCAGTGTTCTTGCCTGGGAGAAGGAAATGGCAACCCACTCCAGTGTTCTTGCCTGGAGAATCCCAGGGATGGGGTCACAGAGTTAGAGTCGGACACAACTGAAGTGACTTAGCAGCAGCAGCAGCAGAATAAGCCTGAACTTCCCTGGTGGCTCAGATAGTAAAGTGTCTGCCTACAATGTGGGAGACCTGGGTTCAATTCCTGGGTCGGGAAGATCTCCTGGAGAAAAAAATGGCAACCCACTCCAGTATTTTTGCCTGGAAAATCCCATGGAAGGAGGAACCTGGTAGGCTACAGTCCATGGGGTCGCAAAGAGTCGGACACGACTGAGCGACTTCACTTTCACTTTCAGAGTAAGCCTGAGTCCTTTAGAAATTTGATTGTTTATGGTTTTATTGGAAAAGTATGGTCACTGAAAATTATAATACTGGGTTCTGCTTTTCCTCTTGTATGCCCCATAACACAAAATAGCACAGAATGATATTTGAAATTAGACCATTTGCATCTAGTAAAAAGGGTTTTGAACATCTCTGTCCCAAATCCTAGAAATTATAAAAATATTAATCTGTATTTGTTCACTGATTAGATAAGAGTGTGGTATCTGAATAAAATGTTCACATTTTCGACATGAACACATTGTCTCCAGAAATTTGTAAAAGCAAAACTAGTATAGCAGCAGCACAACAAAAGAAGGTGTACTTTAAATTCTCAGGCAGCTTAGAAAAGCTGTTTCTATTGTAGAAATAAAGAGAAAAAAAAAAAAACAAACCACCCGAGTTGACTTTTTTCTGCTCTCCCATGGGTGGGGCTCCAAGGCAGAGTGGGTGGATGCAGTAAGAAAAGAACCCACGGAGCAGATTGGCCATGAGAATTCTAGAATTTTGTCCTTTGCACTTAGATGCCTTGCCATTTTGTTTAAATGAAGGATATCTTTAAAAACTTTCTTAGAAGGGCACAGAATTTTGAGGGATTTATGGAATAGTATTCTGATGGGAGCTATAAATCGGACTGGACTATTTTGCCTACAGACGATAACAATAACTAGTTAACATTTGTAGGACTAAGGTCATTGCAACAGTCTTTGTGGTCCTACAGGCTCTGTCTCCTTTCTCCCCCATCCCACCTCTCTTTGCTCACTGGCTCTCTTAATATTCTTTGAACTCTCTAAGCATGATCTAGCCCCAGGACTTCTGCAAATGCCACCACCCCCTGATTGGAATTTTCTTGTCTCCACAATTGGCATGGCTAACTTCCTTCCTTTTTCAAGTCTTAACTCAAAAAAAAAAAAAAAAAAAAAAAAAGTCTCACCTGTCCTTCTAATCTAAAACTGCATCAATTTTGTATGATGCTCCTTACTCCTTTCTTGTTTTGCTTTCTTCCATTGGACCAATCATTGTTTAACAATCCTATCTGTGCTATTTATTTATCTTGCTTATTGCCTTTCTCCTCAACCATTCCCAACTTGATAAAGATAGAGATTTTTGTCTGTCTTGTTAATGAATGTCCCCCCTAGCACTGACGATGTGATCTGAAACACATTGGGAATAGAATCAATATTTGTTTAATATATGACTTTCCTATTAACTCATCTAACTCTCACAGTGACTTGGTGGGGAAATTATTGTTGCATTTCATGATGAGGAAACTGAGGCTCAGAATAAATTTAGAGTAAGTGGTGGAGCTGAGACTCAACTGCAGGATATCTGACAACAAGCCACTTCCTCTATATCCCTACATTAGGGCAACCTTTTTGGGAAGTTTTAAGTTCAGAATCTAATATAGTCTCATTAAAGGTGCATTTGTCCTACTTTTACATCGTTGATCACACATAGCAATTCAAATTGCTTATAATTAGTCACTGGAAGAGAAAGGAACTAAGATTAAATCACGAACTAATGCTTATTCAACACCACCTGGCTAGGTCTATATTAACAAAGCAAAGCCCATAAATGAGGTTGTTATTCTAATAATTTAGCAAAACCCCTGCTGCTCTTCAATTGTCAGAATAATTGCTTTTTAATTTTTCTTCATATAAATCAAGGCTTTTCAGCTTTGGCACTATTGACATTGGGGGCTGGATAATTTTCTTCTGTTGGATGCTGTCTTGTGCATTGTAGGATATTTGACAGCATCTCTGGCCTCTACTCACTAGATGCTATAGCACTCCCCCAGTTCTGACAACCAACAATGTCTCCAGACATTGCCAAATGTCCCTGTGTGGCAAAATTGCCCAGGTCAGAACCACTGTCATAACAGACCCTTCCTAAGCATAGGGCCGAGTACATAGTGCATATCTATTAAGTAGCTAAAAACCAGGCTACTAGATATTAGTTTGTGTGCCAGAAAAATGAAAGGGTACAATGAAAATGCCTTCTCTCCCCTTCTTAATCTGGATAATGGAGGGAAATGGATGATTTGTAACTTACTGACCAACTGGCCAAAGAAAAAATTGTGTAGTCAGCTTTAGTGTATTTCTCTGTTTAGCAAGGTGTCTAATACTTTGTGGAAACAGATACTTACAGAACACAGTAAGAGGTAAACAAACCCAAATGGTCATTCTCAACATCTTTCTCTTTCCCTTCTCCAATTTCCCATAGGTCTCTGCTTATTGCATTATAAAAGAACACACAAAACTATGACCTATTTTTACCCCTTTCTTCACTTCCTAAATTCAGGCCCTTGGTATTTGTTGCCAATATTACATCCCTCCCAGTCCTTTGAACCACTCCCTCTCCCAACATCAGGCCATTCTTCACTCTGCAGCCAAGAATACCTTTCTAAGACTCCAATTTCACTCCCTATTGACTTCAAGACCAGTTCCCAAAGAGGTACCCATGGAATCAAATACTTTTTGGTAATGCTGTATTAAAAAAAAATTAACAAGTTTCTTTACTGTGCTCCATGGAATCTATATGCACTATTATATAGACTTCATAATTTACCAAATTATTAGACGAGAGAACGTTTGCCCCCAAATTTCATGGTACTAATATGACACATTGGAGGAACATTAACTTACAGGATTAAATTCAGCTTAAACAGCCTCATAGGTATGTGAGATGGCCAATATTGCACTAAGCATTTGAGAAACAAAGTTGAAAGACAAAGTCCATTCCACTGATGAGCTTACATTCTTGTGAGAGAAAACAATGCACAAACAAGATAAATGGTAATTCCTATAAGAGCAGTAATAAAGAGCTTTGGAGCATACAAAGGTTATATCTGAGTTGGGTTTTAAATGAATAAGCAGAAATTTTGGAGAGAGGAAGACATGGGGCATGGAAGAAGAGGATGGGCACTGAGGTGCAGGGAACAGGAGTGATTTGACTCATGGCACAGACAAATCAAATTATTCATAAGGTGTGGGGAGAAGTAGAGGGAGAAGAGACTGAAAAATTAGGTTGCAATCAGATTGCCAAGGGCCTTACAGTCCTGTCTGATCAGTAGGCATTTGAAATGTGGCACCCAGAAGAGAGAGGTGGGGACTAAAGGCAGGCATCTGGCAGCTGGCCTCGTCTTTGAAACCATGTGGATTTCCCCAAGAAAGTGAAGACCAATGATAATCAAGACCAGATCCAGAAAAACACCAACATATAAAGGATGAATAGAGTATAATGATCACAGAAACAGAAAACTAAGAGGAGAAACATGTTACAGAGTCATGGATAAAGCCCACTCTTCTTCATGTGATGAGTGGGTTTCTTAAATCATCTACATACGTGGTTCTCTACCAAAGTACTTCAACCTAAAATGTTCTAGAAATGAAATTAAAAGTTCACTTTATGGTTATTTCAAAGCCTGAAGTAAAAGCAAAGTGAAACTCTGAGAGACATGTTTATGATTATATGTAAGTCTTCAGTTCAAAATGTGAATCTTTCAAGAATTTACTTTAGGAAATTTTATAAAAATGGATGGTAAGAAAGGTCTTATCTGAAATGTTTTACTATAAAATATTTCATTTATTTCCATCCATTTGAATTCCATTCTGTTTTGATACTTAACATTTGATAGTTTTAAGAAGGACCAAATGGCTCGAAATAACAACTTTCCACAAATTCATAACAGCTCTTCATCTGGTCACTGAGCTGAGAGGAATCCTGCAGATTCCCTTCAATATTGGGTTTCATTCCCTCCATCTTGTGCAGGCCGCTCTCAGAAAACAGCCAAGAAAAACAACCCAAGCACAAATGGCTGCAAATTGACTTGCAAATGTACAAATTCAGACCAAAAAGTGAAACAGGAACTCTTCTTTGAAGGGTGATTATCATAATTTATAATAGGCAATTCTAAACTCTTTCCCATAGTTCTCTGAACTTTCTAGTGACTTTATTGCCCAAGACTGGTAAATGTCGCCACTTTCTTTCAGTATGTATTTAGAAAACCGGTATAGTTTCTCAAACTTGAGAAATGATATCCACGACCTATAACTAGTAATTAATTATCTCTTCCCAGTTAGCAGAAATTAACATTAGTTCTGGGAAAAAATCTGATTACAAAAATAAGAATCAAATAGTCAAGATATGACTAGGACACACTGGGTCCTAGGGAATTTATACTTTGAAATTTCCTATAATTTTCAACTTTATCTTAACTTTTCATTAAAATGAAATGATGAAGTATAAAAGAAATACGTTAACTCTAAAATAACAAAGGGTATTAAACCTCTGATGACTATGGTTCAGTTCTATATACTCTAATAGCAGAAATTAAGTGAAAGAGTATTAATTATGAGTTAATTTTCTATATAAAGGAGAAACAAAATGATTTTTAAGAAAGGAACAAACACTTAAAGCCACCACTTTGAAGCCCAGATTATCCAAATTGACTGTTTCCATTGACAGATCAAATTATGTTGCAACATTAACATTTCATGAGAAATCTTATAAGCGAACACTTTAGAAAATGATGATTGCTGAACCAAATAACAGGCATAAAACATATAAAACAACTCACCCAGCCCCATATGGCTATTCTTTTTTCATCAATGAAACCCATTTCTATGAATTTTCTAAAGTAAAAGAAACAAATTTTTAGAATTTTAAGTGTGTACACATGACATTTACTTCATTACACAAGCATATTTAATCCAAAGATTTAATAGAAATGCTACATTTTCTTTGTTTAAACACATGCATAATAAGGTTGCATTTACAAATAATTAAAATAATATTATCGTGTTTTCTGAGAAGGATAAAAGGAGATATTAAACTCTATGGTTCATCTATTGAGTAGTACTCTCATGGCTGTGAGGCCTCCTACCCTAATTGGCTGGTGAGTTACTTGGGGCTCAGATGAAGAAGCTCATATTCAGCAAATGAGTATTGACCAAAAGGGGAAACAATTTTTTAGTGCACTGAACAAATAAATGGTTAGTTCGGGTTCTCAGACTACAGCTACCTGTTTTTGAGTTTAATATTAAATGTAGTTAAGTTATTTATAAGTAAAAAAAAAGAGAGAGACAGGCTCATAGTAACACCAGAAGTAATAGTATCTTGAGTGGGATCAAATTTCCAAAACTGCAGATTTTGGGGGAAAAAAAAAAAGGTTTTCCCAGTGCACCAGGCCCGAGCACTTGTCTCATGCACCCAACCTGGGCTGGTGAACTGTTTCACCCTAGATAATATATGTGTTTCAATGCTGTTCTCTTGAAACATCCCACCCTCGCCTTCTCCCAGAGTCCACAAGTCTGTTCTATACATAGGAGTCTCTTTTTCTGTTTTGCACATAGGGTTATCGTTACCATCTTTCTAAATTCCATATATATGTGTTAGTATACTGTAATGGTCTTTATCTTTCTGGCTTACTTCGCTCTGTATAATGGGCTCCAGTTTCATCCATCTCATTAGAACTGATTCAAATGAATTCTTTTTAATGGCTGAGTAATATTCCATGGTGTATATGTACCACAGCTTCCTCATCCATTCGTCTGCTGATGGGCATCTAGGTTGCTTCCATGTCCTGGCTATTATAAACAGTGCTGCGATGAACATTGGGGTGCACGTGTCTCTTTCAGATCTGGTTTCCTCGGTGTGTATGCCCAGAAGTGGGATTGCTGGGTCATATGGCAGTTCTATTTCCAGCTTTTTAAGAAATCTCCACAGTTTTCCATAGTGGCTGTACTAATTTGCATTCCCACCAACAGTGTAAGAGGGTTCCCTTTTCTCCACACCCTCTCCAGCATTTATTGCTTGTAGACATTTGGGGGAGAGGGGACCGGGATGGGGAATACATGTAAAAAAAAAAAAAAAAAAAAAAAGATACACTATGGTTGTGATAAAAAAAAATGATAATAAATAAATAAATAAATAAAAAGAAATAAAAAAAAAAAGGTTTTGTTGCTCCTGTTTTAAATTTTATTAATTTCTTATGATTTTGTTTGCTTATGTGTTAATGTGAAAGAATTCAATCTAAAATGGGACTGAAAAATATAAATGAAAAATCGCACACAGGTGCCCTCAGGACTGAGAGACTGAGTTCCATATATGCCTGATGTGCAGAAAATTGATATTACTGAAATTTTCTTAATGATAGGGAGTTGGCCTCATATCAACCTTGGAAAGTTTTGCTTATGGTTTCCAGAGACCAGGACAAGAAATGACCCAGGTCAGGTTAGTTCCTCAAAATACATTGAACTGAGCTTTGTTTGTATGATGGGACTGGTTTTATCTGCCCAGGTAGTAGTCAAAGTTGGTCTCTGTTTTTGATTTTAACAGACTCTCACTGAACTCTTCCCTCTTTATATTCCCTACCTATAATACAGCCTATCCCAAACCCTCAATGAACTGCCCTATAACTTGCTATAGTTTGTGAGTTCAGAACTGCAATTCCTCTGCTATACCTGAATAAACTCATTTTTAAACAATTTTGAGTTTGCCTCATTTTAACCTTTTATTTAAGTTGACATGCATTATAATTTGAGAAGGGCAGGGCAACCCACTCTAATATTCTTGCCTGGAGCATCCCATGGACAGAGGAGCCTGGCAGGCTACAGTCCATAGGGAAGCAAAGAGGTGGACATGACTGAAGCGACTTAGTCACACGCACACATTATAATCACTGTCTCATTTTTGGTCACATCCATCCATGGAAAAATATCTATCCCTTTATCACTTCATATTTAGATACCCTCTGTTTATCATGGTTTGGACAACTATATGTATCTTTTAGAATATGAACATGATTCATTCAAGCTCCATCACAAAAGAGCCTCCATTTGAAATCAAGTTTGAAGACAAATCTCTCCTTAGGAGCAAAGGGCCACACTTAATGGTGACCTTCAGAAAGTCCTGGGAAACCCTCAGAAATCTAAGTGCATTGCTGGTACAAAGCAAGAGTGTTCTGGGCTAATTTACTCCATGCTTACCTGAGGGCTGGTGTTCGAGTGTCAGTGTGATTTATTTAGGGAATGTTTTGATAGAAGAAACTCTCAAAGAAACAGAAGCAGTGGAAGAAAAAAGCAAAGTGAATGAGCCACTACAGAGGCCTGGATGGGACAGTGAAGGAAAAGAAGGGCATGAGTCCAAAGTGACACTCATGACCAGAAAAATGCCTTTTTTTTTTTTTTTTGGTTGCCTTAAGTGACATTAATGTCCTTCCTCATTCTCTGGAACTAGGATGGAATGATTTGTGTTAGTTGAATAATGGAATTTCTTAAAGGGATTTCACAGCAACCATTTTGCTCGTTGCATGGATTCAAAATGCACGTTTCTGCTGCACAGAGGAGTTGGGCAGATGCCCGGGACAAACAGATGGGAAGAAGCCCCGTCAGTCACAGCTTACTCGACACTAATTCTGAAGGACACTGAGGCGTCTTCAGGGGAGAAATGCGGTAGCAAATGGAGAGTTGCTACCTGTGTGGATGCTTGTTCACAGTAGGTAGAGAAAACGGGCTGTCAACTGTGGTATTTTGGCAATTCGCCCACAAACTTCAAAAGCCAAATGAAAGAAAAGAAGGTTCAATTTCTTTGTCAAAAAAAAAAAAACCCCAAAAACCCAAACAAAGCAATCCTGCTGCTAGTGCTTGAAGCCAGTTCGAAGCCATAAAATCAATCATGATTTTATGATCTCCCAGAAGCTAGCAATCATATTGCCTTGCATCTGGGGTAAAAGCAAATAACAGGTGATACATGGGAACAGGAAATTCTTAACAGCTCCCTTCCTAGGTTTATTCCAAAAGGATGACATTTACAGGAAATGATAGCTCAATAGTTAACATGGAAATGAAACATTAACACTTAATGTGGCAAGACTAGGTTAAAGGTTAGCTAGATAATCTGAGCACTTTGAGACCAACCAGGCTTTATAAAATTTACCTCCAAAATTCTGAAGAGCTTTCAGGAGGGTTATCAGAAATACTGCCAATAATGTAGTTAAATCAACAAAATGTTAATAACAGGGGAAAAAGCATGCTTTTCTAATTTTGGAGACTGGTCTGGACTTTACAAATTTTCTCTCTTAAAAATAACCCTAGACTAAAGATCAGTTTGAACCCTCTTGATTGATTATTATTCTATTTTGGAAATGTTTTTATTGGTATCATGTGTAACAGTATATTGTTTCTCATATAATTCTTTCTTACCAGTATCCCTGAAGTTATATAAAGTTTCAAAACTGTGGGAATGTCTAAAGTGCAGAACTTACCCCAAATGAGCAGATTTGACCCTATAACTACTGAAACTTTAAGGGACTTACATGTGTACCACTTGCAAAGGAGCCTGAAGAACGTAGGTCTCAGTTTTACCTAAGTTTTGACCTCAAACATATTTCCTTTGGGGCATTCAAAATTTGTGCAGCTGTAGGACTTTTTTTGCCTGCTTTGCTTCATTGAATTTATTTCTCAACCTTGACTAGTATTTACTAGTATTTTCAAATATGTACATATTTGTATGTATGTACATATGATTTTTTTGGTATGTAAAAAATTTAGCCTGATTGCATTTCTTAAGAGATTCAAGGAAACAAATTTCATTCTTTCTTTTTTTTTTTTTGCAGGAAGAAGTAATTTGAGGACCATGGAGAGAGAAGCCTGGTGGACTATGGTCTGCGGGACTGCAGAGTCAGACACAGTTTAGCGACTGAACGACAGCAACAAGAGTTGGAGGACTACCATAGAGGGATACGATCCCAAATCCTCAGGTCAGACATTCAGGGTCTGATTCCTAAGACATTTCTCTGGAAAATATGTGATTGAATTCTTTCCAGAATTATCACTATAAATCTATCCTCTAGCTTTTGTCTTCTCAAAACATTGGGTTTCAAGGCCTCCCTTATACTTTTGCAGAATAAGGCTTCAAGCAAGGCAAAGGCGAACCCCAGCTGGCATCTCCGCTGCTGTAGATGCACTTTGCATGGGCCTCACAGACACCCCTGTTCACTGAGGTAAATAACAACCATGCTGTCTGTTGAGTGTATGTGGTTTATTCACTCTTCAGAAACTGTAAGTGCACTGAAAGTTGAGATTGTAAATTGCATGATTTTATCCAGAGTATTGTAATTGCATACGCTACTTCACCTGCTCTTGAATGGCTGAGTCAATGAGTGAACATATGTCTGATCTACAGTACAAAAACTTTCTTCAGGTTCCATCCAAAAATGGCTCAGAGGAGGTAAAGGTAGCCAGTTACAGCCTCTGGTCCATCTTCATTTCAGTTCTAAGTGTCATTTATGTTATTGTGAAAAATCAGTAGAATTTGTGGCTTCCTGTTCTATGTGTTGAACAGAAATAACAATTTATGTTAAGGTCAATGCATGGATATCAGGTTTAAATTTTCAATTCATCCAAAGAAAAACATTAAGAAGTTATCTGTTCTATCTCTTCTGTTTCTTGAGGTATTCCTCTTAAATTTGAATGCCACATTTTTGGTGATAAATAAATGCACAGACATATAATGATGTATGATGGTAATGATTGTTTTTAATCAACACCAAACAAATCACTTTTTAGCTCTACCAACTTTGGAAAGTTGAATTATAAACCACAGTTTACATCTCTGTCCTTTGATATTGTCCCAGAATTACATGTCCCTGGTGTTTTATTGTATGGTTTAATACAAACAAGTGTGACACACAGCCGAAAAAGAATTATGTCTATAACACTGACAGCTGTGTTAATATTCTTAAGGCATACCATAGTCTTATCTGAGACATTCTATCTTGGAATTTTTCTTTGAATTACCTTTCCTATGACTCTCTGTCACACAGAAGTATCTCTCAAAGAAGTTGAAATAGTGGAAAGGCCAAAAATCTGGATGAGTAGGAAAGACGGAGCCTCCTAGAAGTTAAGTGTGAATAATGCCTACATATTGTGTAGCATTATTTAATAATTTACTTATTAGTTTGTTAGATTTTATCCAAATAACTTTGCTTTTAATTGACTGTTTTGTGTGTGTGTGTAATTAGTGTTCACAGAATGAAAATTTAAAAGCATATGATTACTTTCTATTTTAAAAAAAATCACTTGTGAGTCTAAACTCTTCTGCTTTGATTAGAGACAAAAATATACAGAAAAGTGTTGTCTGGACCTGGCTCCTATTTGTTAAATACAGTCTGTGCTATGCATGCTACACTGAAATCAATAACCATTAGTGATATTAAGATGATAAAAGAAACATATTAATTAATTTTCTAAATTGCTCTTTTCTGTGAAGCATTGTTTGACCTTTAGCTGTCATGCATGCACGTATATCCATGACTAAGAGTGCAATCAGGCTGTGTTAGTTTTTACATTTACAAACTACTATTCTCTAATGTCACCTACTCATACCATAATAACAGAAACCTGAAAACTATAAGAAATATCCAGATTAATCCTGCACAGTGCTTCCAAATTAGGAACAATTTTGGTAACTCTTTTCTTTTTGCTTCAGGAAGAAATGATTGAGCCATAAATTGTGGTTGAGAATGTAGTTGGGAAGAGGTCAGACTATATATCTATATTTCCTCTAAATGTTTTCATAATGTAATTTCTATTACATAAAATATTTTTTTTGTCAAATGAAAGTAGGAAAACACTTTCTTGCTAATATGATCGTTTAATTACAAATGAATGTCTGATATCTGTAAGTACATAGTGCCGATGAAATCTTGAGCCATTTCTGAATTTATGAGGTAGAATCCACAAAGCTGGAGCTGTCTGATTTTCTACAGACCATTCCTAGAGTTATACAAATTTTTCTGTTAATTGTGAGCCATGTTAATGAAAGGCTATTAGAATGCCTAAAACATGGAAAGAGAGTATTAATCATCTTTCACTACAAATTATTTTTCTACTCTTTTCCGTGAATGATTTTTTTCTCATATTGGGTAAAAATATCCCTTGATGATTAATGACAGCTTTAGATGACGTTAGGAAAATAGACAAAAAGAATTAAGGCATGAAGGATGGAGAAACCCAGAAGTTATTGCATAACTTTTGCTGACATCAGTTTCTGCTTGAATGAGAAGGTGCTCACCTTACAGCTGTGATCTGGTCCTCGACTTCATAAACACCCAGCTTTCGATACACTGCATACAGGAGTTTGTCACCTTGGAAAGCTGTTCCTCGACCATCCACCAAGGCAATGACTATCCCTTCCTTACTTGCAAGATAAGATACCCAGCTAATAGAGAATATAGACCTTACACTCTGACTGCAGGGACCTCCATACCTAAAGGGAGAAAAGAAAGAGAATCTCTGATGTTTTTGTGAAACTCAACTTCCCATCAGGGCCAAGAGTTGCCTTTAGTATTTCCCAGTACATTTGTATGATAAAATTTCAATAACAGCGGCATTAGAACTGGCTCAGAATCAAGAGAGGACCAGGCTTTTCCCAGAGGTTTGCTACAAGGAAGTTGTTCTGGGACACAGCCCCTCCTATTCCCCAAAACGGATACATCTAGGGTTGGCATTTCAAGGAATATGTGTGGGTTTTTCGTCATTTCTGCCACCTGCCACTTGCTAAAAGCAGGCATAAGATATACTAAAAAAAATGCATGGTGTTTTAAGCAAATTGTGTGTAGGTCAGCACTGATTTGGGGTGTGATTCCACAAAATGTATTCCATTCCCTTATTTCATTTCTAACTCAATTACATAAGACGTGAAGATGATTTACAATATTTTTTTGGCTGCAATTTCTCTATCTCAAAGGTATTCTGACACATTAGGCAATTTGCCACACAAAGGAAATTCAAAACAGCAAATGCAAGCAAGTCCATCTAAAAATCTCAAAACTTTCTCAAGCTAGCCATATTTTATTTACTCTGATTAGTTGGGGAACATATAAAAACAGCATCAATAGGAACTGTTACTGAGGAGAATGGTTCATTCTATCTCACAAATGTGTATTTAATACAGCATACTTTCAATAAATAGTTTTTAAACCAAAGAAAATATTACATACACTTGAATTAGCAAGGGATACTTCTTTGATTTGTCAAACTGAGGAGGAAGAATCATCTTGTACCACAATGCTTGAAAAAAAAAACAGAGAAAAATCTTCATTCCACAATACTCAGCATTATTTATTTTCTTTAATAATAATATATAACATAAAATCAACTTATAATTAGTAAATTGTGAAGAATCAAGACTGTGCTTTTCTTTATTTTTATTATGTAGTTTGTCAATTTACAAGTTACTAGAAATATCAAACTATTGTTTTTCTAGAAGCACACATTCTAAAATTAAAATTAGATAAACTTTAAAAAAATCAGTGCTGAAATGGAGCTATAGAAAAAATATCAACTTTATTCACAAACATATGAGAGATATTTCATAAAACCTTATTGCTACAGTAAGATTTTTAAATTAAGATCCCATAATATTATAGGGTTGTACTATAATATTTACCCTACAATTTTGTTTTTAAAAAGCAAGATAAGTGCTCAGCTTCATATTTATTCATGAGAAGTTTTTAAAGATCTTACTAATATTATCCACTTTAAGTTTCTTAATTTCTTCTTTAGGCAGCTGAATATTTTTCAAAGCATTTTCCAATTCCTTGTTGTCTTCCAGGATTTTAATTTCTTAAAAAAAAAAGTTCATTTTTAATTAATAGAAGTTCTATAAAAAAATTTCTTTCTTAAAATGTCTTTGGATTTACTATGGATGAAACTGAAATGGTATATGGATTGCTTAAGGATTTTCATATTGACAAGCAGATTTTTAATACAGGCTTTACAGCAGGGATGAGCTTGTAAGAGACATCAATCATTGTCTCCTAAATTGACCCTGATGGCATCAAAACTCATTTTGAGCAGAATCACAGAAGTAACAACGCTTATTCAGCCACATTTTCCTGTGTCCAACTTTTTTTTAATAAGTGCCCTGAGTAAGTAGCATTTTGAAAAAAAATATTTACTAAAACAAAAGTGGTAGAAATAAAATCTATATTGCTGATACTTCATATTTAAAGCAATTAAGCATATAGCTATAAAGTTTGTTTTAAAATCTTCAGTGCACAAGATCAAATATTAAGTCTGTGATTTTTTTCACATCTATTTCTTTCTTAAACTCTTCCTGCTGTACTTGCTTAATATAGGATATTCTTTTTTTTTTTTTTGTAATTGAATTACTGTGCATTCAATTCCTTCAAATCCTTTCTTTCAAGGTAGTTATATATCTTAGTAGGACAACCATATATACACACTATGATCTTTGTCTTTCATCATAAAGTGTTAGTCACTCAGTCATGTCTGACTCTTTGTGACCCCATGGATTGTAGCCCTCCAGGCTTCTCTGCCCATGGAATTCTGCAGGCGAGAATACTGGAGTGGGTTCACATTTCCTTCTCCAAAGGATCTTCCCGACCCAGGGATTGAACCTGGTTCTCCTGCATTGTAGGCAGATTCTTTACCATCAGAGCCAACCCAAGACTCCTAAAGAGAACTCTCAAAGGGGGCACCTGGAAAAGATCTCCTAAAAAACTGCTGTTTAACTGAACAAATCCATTGATCTCCTGAGAAAAGTTAGGTTTTTGAATAATAAGTGACGTTTGTAGCTTTATTTTTAAAAAGAGTGTCTGGATGACTTCTGAAATACAGGAGGCCTGTGGACTCCTTGTTTTCGTGCTTTTTTAAAAAAGTGGTCCTTGAAGATGGGGAGCTGGGGGAGTACTTGTAACTACACCAAGTTTGCCAAACCACTTCTCTTGTAACTCTCAGTTTTCATGTACTCATGGCATTTTGCTTCAACGTGTTACATTTAATCTTAGAACAAGGATAGATGTTTTGGTATGAGTTGTATAAGATACATAATACATTTCATTTTAACTTTGGATAATCCATCAGGAAAGAGATAGTTGTGGCAATTTAAAAGTTAAAACGAAAAAAGGGAATAACAGGAGATGGGGAGAGATAAATTAGGAGGTTGGGATTTACATATATGTACTACTGTGTATAAATAGATAAGCAACAAGGACCTTCTGTATAGAACAGGGATCAATACATTCAGTATCTTGTAACACCCTATAATGAAAAAGAATCTGAAAGAGACTATGCTACTGCTAAGTCACTTCAGTCGTGTCTGACTCTGTGCGACCCCACCCCTGGGATTCTCCAGGCAAGAACACTGGAGTGGGTTGCCATTTCCTTCTCCAATGCTTGAAAGTGAAAAGTGAAAGTGAAGTTGCTCAGTCGTGTCTGACTCTTAGCGACCCCATGGACTGCAGCCTACCAGGCTCCTCCGTCCATGGGATTTTCCAGGCAAGAGTACTGGAGTGGGGTGCTATTGCCTTCTCTGGAAAGAGACTATACACACACACACACACACACATATATATACATATGTATATATATATATATATATATATACTTGAACTTCCCTGGTGACTCAGAAGGTAAAGAATCTGCCTGCAATGCGGGACACCTAAATTTGATCCCTGGGTCCAGAAGATCCCTGGAGAAGGGAATGGGCCTCTACTCAAGTATACTTGCCTAGAGAATTCCATGGACAGAGAACCCTGGCGGGCTACAGTCCTTGGGGTCACAAAGACTCAGACAGAACTGAGCGACTTTGACTTTCACTTTCACTTTAAGGACTTTTCAGGTGGTGCTAGGGGTAAAGAATGCTCTTGCCAATGCAGGTGATGTAAGAGGTTGTGGGTTTGATCCTTGGATTGGGAAGATCCCCTGGAGGAGAAAATGGCAACCCACTCCAGTACTCTTGCCTGGAGAATCCCATGCACAGAGGAACCTGGCAGGCTACAATCCATGAGGTCGAAAAGAGTTGCGCAAAACTGAAGTGACTTAGCATGCATGCATAACTGAATCACTTTGCTATTACACCTGAAACTAACACAGCATTGTAGATTAACTATATTTCAATTAAATACTCAAAACTAAAAAAAATAAGTTAAATGAATACTCAGTTCTAAGTACAATGAAGCCAGCCCTTCATTCTCTGTGTATGGGTTCTGACTGTGGAACTGTCAAGGATAAAGGGAATCTATGTGGAGCAAGCACACAGAGTGGCTGTAATATTTACTTGACCATGTTTATCATTTTGCCAACAGATGCTGGAAATCTGAGACAATACACGGATGTTGCCTGATTGGGTTGACCTTGATTCCTTCTCTAGTCTGTTCCCAGATAAGGACTTACTGAAATGACAAGTTGAATAGAAAAGCTTATTAATACGTCTACAGTCCAGAGTTGCATCTTTATGGATAGTAAATGAGCAATTTTCCTACCTCTTGGGGCAAAATAGAATTTCATAAGGCTGTGAAGAGAGGGAGGGGTTGCAATTGGACTTCTCTATGTGGCTTTGCCTTAGAAGTGTTCAATATGGCAAGGATTGCTACAGCCCAGACTATACCTTTTACCTTCTTTTACTCATCATAGTATACTCGAAGCCCAGCATGCTCAGTACCAAGTACATGATATGTCATTGTGCTCTCCATATGTTTGGAGACTGTTCATTATGATGAAATCAAGGTGTAAGAATGATAGATCACATCTTATTTATTTGTTAAAATCATATTAACTATGATATATTATTCATTGATTAAATTATGTGAAGACTCTTCAGGAAACCTGATAAATAAAGCTTTTTAATCAGCTGATCAATTTTAATGAAAATCTGCTGTGTCTGAAGTACCTAAGCCTCAAATGGGTCTTCCATGTCAAGTGTCAACTCTTCTACATTTTTATAGCATCTGGGTCAAGTGCTATCTGTTATTGTCCAAAGACTTTTCTCCACTTTGCAGAGAAAATATAGCCATTGCACTGTTTTCTACAAAACATTGCAGGTGGATTCTTTACCCACTGAACTATCAGGGAAGCCCTGTTTTCTACAAACTTTCATAGAAATACATCAAAAGTGTCCTCATTCTCTCTCATCAAAGACCAGAGATTAATTTCCTCACCTGTCTCTGGACTCCACTTTACCCAGGGTGGAGGGACATCCACTCCTTTATGTCTTCAACCATGGTCTCCACATTTCTTCCATCAGCATTCAACCATTCTCAAATGTTTATCAGCTTTCAAAAGCTAATTTAAACCTCTATCAATCTCTTCCAGGATTATCCACCTCTTTCCTCCACTCATCAGTCAAACCTATTGAAAACAGTCTCTTTTTATTTACTTACCTCCTATACAAACCTGAATTTACTTCAACCTTGCCTCTACCTTCACCACTCCACTGAAACCGTTCTGACTAAGCTAATGCTCATCCTTGCTTTGCTAAGCTCATTGATTTAGGGAAGGTCTTGTTTTACTCTGAAGTGCTTGACACAGACGAGCACTCCCTTTTCTTGAGGTCCTCTCCTCCCCTGCGTGCCATGAGTCCATACTCTCAAGGGTGTCCTTCTCCTTCTGTCCGCCCTTGGTCTCCTTTACAGGTTCACTTTCTCTTTCCATTTCTCATGTTGGTGTTCTGCACAATTTTACTCTAGGCTCATTCTTTACTACCCTTGCCCACCCTCACTTTCCCCACACTGCTCTCTCACCCATTTCCACAAACTTAGTAACCGTGTATTCCATAAATGAATAACTTCCTGATGATTATCTTCAACTCAAACTAATCCTCCAACATCCAGGTCCAAAAGTGTGTCACTCCAGGACAGCTCTTCTTGGATACATGTCATCAGTACCTCAAACTAAATATTCAAAACAAAATTCATCACCTCTCCAAAAACGTTCTCTCCGCTGTGGGTCCCATCTTTCAATGAAAAGCATCAGTATGAATCCATTTGACCAAGTTAGACATCCAAACAGCATCAATCTCTCCCTTGTATTTATGAGTCTTAAGGTTGACGTAGTCATCATTAGGAAACATTTCTTAACCCACTATTCCAGAGGAGGAGCCCTGCTAATATGCTTTCATGAATCTCTATTTTCCCTATCTTAATACTTTATCCCACTGTGTTGTAACTGTCTGTTTACAAGTTTGCATTCCCCACTGACCTATAATCTCCTGAGAACAGTACCATCTCTAATGCAATATCTGTTCATTTTTAGGATGTATTTTCTAGCAAAGTGCCTGGTTTAATGTAATAGGTGCTTAACAAATATGTACTGAATGAAAATTTTTGGCACCAAATGCAAAGAGAAACTAAATAAATAGAAGACATAGCATCTGCTCTGAAAAGCTACTCCAAAGCTTATCTGGTAATAGATTAAAAATACAGATTCCCTAGCCCAATATAAGACTTATTAAGGTGGAATTTTGGAGGAGGGCCTGAGAACCTGTATTTATAATAAACTTCTCTGGATAATTTCATCATGGGGCAAGTTTGCAGAATTGCACTATAAAAGAATTTTCATTGGTTTTGAGAGTTAAAAGCATGTAAATACATATAACATATATAGACACATGAAGATTGTACCTATTTTGTAAGTACTGAGTGAAGTGATAAAGTTTTGTAAGCAGTACAAAAATTGGTATCTAGCAGGAATATGAGAAGGATATGAAGAAAGTGGAAATTTGTTAAAAAAGAGAAACTGACCTTTCTTTTGCAGTCATGCAATTATTTCCCCCTGATTCAAATGGCTGAAAGTTATCAAGATTATTTTATGCAAATCAGAGATTGTGTTCTCTTTTGAGAACAAATGAGAATTACACATTTATGGTGATTTCCATTAAAACAAAGACTTACAGATTTGAAACTAGTCCTGCTTTAAAATTTCTCTCACTGAAGGTTGAAATGTGCCAAACTCAGACATACAATCTGTTATTCTTTAAAGTATTTCATTATTAGACACAAGGTTAAAAAGACAACAAAAACCCCCAAAACTTCAAAATGAAACTAAATTCGCAGTTTCATTATTACAATGCTTGTCCTTCCTGAGCTCCTGAATGGACTCTGATTTTCCCCATTGCCTTATTTTCACCTGTACGTAGGCCATTGAGCTGGCAGCCAAACTAATTCCAAAGCAGTCAGTCTCCTAACTTGTCACCAAAGCTGTCCAAGGACAATCACAGGCTTGAGTGCTAAAGTCACTTTTTGTCCTTAGATTCCATCAACTTCAACCCCACAACGTTTCATAGTAAATCAAAAGGTAACAGAGAACCGCAGGAAGAGTCTCAGGGCAATTATACACTTGGGTATCTCCCTCGAGAGTAAAAATGGTCATCTTTGAGCTGTGAACTATTTTTGAACCAATATCACGAATACAGGATGGAGGAGATCTGCCTTAATAGCAGTTGAAAATGGAAAGAGCCTCCAAATTTCAGGGCTCTCATACGTGGCAACAGTGTGATGTAGCTGTTAAAATAAAAAAGCTAGCATGATAGTCACCCTCTGCTTTGAACTGGAGTTATATCCGGAACTCATCTCCAGTTCGGGATGTTTAAAAAAAAAAACACACACACACACAAAAAACAGGCCTTCTTATTCCGGAGGGAAAGTGTACTAAAAATCTTCAGTTTCCTTCCAATTTTAAGCTTCTGTGTTTTTATAAGGGTGATTGGGGAAGACAGGATTAATTTGTCTTATATAACTCATCTGCTTTATGCCAGGTTCTTACTGCAAATAATAATTAACTTTCATATGATCAGGCTTGACAAAGAACAGGTTGATCAATATAATCATAAGCTATGCAATAATCTATATGTCACTGTTCCCCTTGCTGGTGTGGGGAAGCTGTCTTGCTTCCTCTAGTGTCACGAGAGTCCAGGATTTCTTAAGACAACAGCATGTGGAGACAGTACCTTGGTCGGTGCGGCCATCATGAAGGGTGGAAATGGGGAGGCCTGGGCCTGTGCATAGGATGAAAACAAAAACATGGCTTAGTTTTAAAATAACATTTAGCTTTCAATAAGAATTGCTAGTCATATTTATGATTACTGTCAAGCTCAATGACCTCTTTTACTTATACAACTACTTTTTTTCTCCCATAAAGAAGTAAACATCCCCTTTTAAGTTACATTCAAACAATACACGAGACCAGAGCCCAGTCAAAGCAAAGATATAACAGAAGAGTTGCCTGTATATATTTCCAAGAATGATCCTAAATAGTCAGTATCTAATGACACAAATGGGCCCCAGAAGCTGTAGTGATAAATGGCCTTCTGGGAAGATATGCTGTATGGGCCAGTTTTAGCTGTGTCTTTAACTTCACCAATACTCAGATTATATTTCCAATCTTGCGTCTTAGTTCAATGTTCAGTTTATTTTGGTAGGTAGAACTCAGCAACTTTTTTTCTTTCACTTAATTGCTATCAGTTCAGTTCAGTTCAGTTCCGTCTCTCAGTTGTGTCCGGCTCTTTGCGACCCCATGAATCGCAGCACACCAGGCCTCCCTGTCCATCACTAACTCCCAGAGTTTACTCGCTATAGGCAGAAACAAATTATACAGAAAATATTTCCTGTTCAATATGCTGTGACAGGACACATTCCCTACAAAACAGACCTAGAAACAGTTTTGTGCACCAAAAGCTCATCTGGGGTGCTGTATTAGGATCCCAGCTAATGTGGGGAAAGAGAAATAAGGTGGGGGGGCTACGGGAAAGTGGGGCGGGGTGCAGCCACAACAGCGACCTCAGCCAACCTCACTGGGAGCTCTGGAGCTGGCTGGCCTTCAGAGTTGTCGTGAATGGAGCCAACTAGTTAGCCTTTTATCTCCCAGAATGGAGTGATTCTTGATTTTGGCCTGAGAGAAGAGCGATCTCTGGCTTGGGTGCAGGGGGCCCAGCTGTAAGCTTTTAGCCTCCAGCTCTCTCAGCAGCTGGAGAAATGACGACCCAGTCCTGAAGGTAGGAGGTCTGAGTGGCAAACCAGTGTCCACCATATATTTCGACATGGAATTCAGGTTCTCTGTGCAGAAATTGGCCTTTATTTTTTTAATCTTAATTCCCCAACAGGATCTAATTTTTGCTCTCCTGCAGTGAGGTGAAAGCATGGAGTCCCAGTCACTGGACCACCAGGGAAGTCCAAAAATTGGTCATTTTAAAAGTATCTGTAAATATTTAAAAAAACTATTATTTACTTGAAATATAGAATAAATAATACCTGGAAATATGTTTGTAAAGTTATTAGAAACCCTGAATATGAGTAGTTCCTTCTTCTGCCTTGCTCCTGACATCTTTCGGCCTTCAGAGAACATGATTCTGACTTGGGTCTCAGTGTGCTATAAGTGTTAAAAGTGGCAGGCCCCATGGGCGAAGCCGGAGGCTGTCTAGTTACACCCATATTTGTATGAGTAATTGTGATTCTGGGGTCTTAGTCCCATTTTCCTGGTAACCTTTATAGGCAATAAAGCTAATGGTTTGATTTCCTGCCTGACTCCTCAATCTGACCTGAGAGCAAGGAGAAAAGATATCATTTATTAGGCTCCCTCAAAAACCAGCAGTACTTATTGTGTGGAGTCTAAATTTTATAAAATTTAATTTCAGAGATTTTCATTTTGATTAGATTTTTTTCAACATTATTAAAAGGTACAAATGCATATTGTATGTAAGGCATACATGTATGCATATAGCATGTACGGCAATGAGACATGAATCTGAATTTCTAAACTTTAGTTAAACAGCACCCACCTTATGGGATGTTCGTAGGTGTGCAGTTCCAGTAGGGATAACTAGCATATATCTTTTGCCCAAACTATGAGACAAACTAATGACTGATTGCCCTTGACACAAGTGGCCTGAGGGTGTGATCCTAGTGGCAGAAGTATTCTTTGCACTGCTTTTGTTCCAGCAGCATCATCAATATGATCTTACCTACTTCAATCCTATTATCTGGGATTTACTCACCATCTCTCTCAGAGAGTTTGAAGTTACATAATGAAGCTTTACTCTTAGTCCTAAAGGGGAAGATTTCAAGGTTTTTCCTATGATGGTGCAGTGACTCATTTTACTGGAGCTTCAAAAACACCAGACGATGTGATGCTTCCCACACAGTATATTTTTTGCTAAATGGGAAATTACCATACTGCCGAGGAAGAGTGAGTGTGGAAAAGTCAGGCGATTCAAGTTCCAGAAAGGAGTCTTTCACCAACTTTTCATGAGAGATTAGTATTGATTCCTTACTCTTCAGGGGGCACTTAGGCTCAAGCAGATCTTAGGAAGACACTAAAAAGTGGTATAGTGCTTTCAAAAAGCATTAAAGCACTGTACAAATGCAGAATGCATAAACTATAAATGTGTGTGTATGAGTAGGGTCACTGATGTCTTTATCAGTAAATGTATCAGCATAAAGGGCTTCCCTGGTGGCTCAGAAATAAAGAATCTGTCTGTCAATGCAGGAGATGCAGGTTCGATCCCTGGGTCGGGAAGATCACATGAAGGAGGAATTGGCAACCCACTCTAGTATTCTTGTCTGGGAAAACCCATGGACAGAGGAGCCTGGTGTGCTGTAGTCCATGGGTTGCATAGAGATAGACACAAGTTAGCAACTGAACAACAACAACAACAACAAATATCAGCATAAAAATGAGGTTTGGGGTATGCTTTGCAAAAGGCAGCAATGTTTTGATCTTCCCTAGTTACCTATGTTCATTCCACAAACATTCTATGTCTATCATGCTCTAACCATTCTTTTTTGGCCTTATGAATATAAAGATAAAAGGAAAGTTTATTCTGCCTCTAGGAGAGAAAATAGACAACCAGATGATTCAGGACAGTTATTTCAATGATACCCTGTGCCTGGCATGTAAGCTTCAATATATGCTGCACGAATACGTAGTTTGGGATGAAAAATGTTGCACATAAATTGAGAGGGACATTTAACATATACCTTGAAGTGCTGTAACCACAATCAGCACATAGGGTCATGAACAAAAATCTTTTGACTTTACAGAGATGCCACAGACCAAACCTTTTGTGAAAGTGTTATATTAAAGTGGTATCTTGTGCCATCTTAAAGGGGGTATTTGAATTAAAATGCTTACTCATTTTCACATAGTCAAAGAGCTGGGGTGAGGTTCTGGGCCCAGATGATTGGACTGAAGAAGTGGTGTGTCAGGGTAACCTTTCTTTTGGCAAGTAAAGGAAACCTCAGGGTCCTTTCCACTGAGCAGGGATCGAAATCAGTCAGAGATTCTGTTTCTGTTCTGAGCTGCCCACCTGAATATAGGCAGTTGACACCAGAAACAGAAGAATGGCATATGTTTTGTAACAACTCCCTTTTGTTTTCTGTCCACCCTCAACTCGCAGGGAAACTCAGGGATTAATAGGGGTGGGGGAGGGGTGTCAGAACAGAGAATGGAGGGGCAGGTATGTTTCAGATCAGTTTTCCAAAATCCCCATAATGACTAGCAAGGACCTAACATATCTCAATGATTTCCTGGTTGCCTAACCCAACTTTGCTATGCGTTCAAGATAGAGATGACAGGTTATGCATAAAATAAAATAATCTGGATAGAAATTATTTGTTAAATGACATATAACCTAAACAACCAGGAAACATCTAGTATATTTTATGAGTTGTGTTTTTTTCAATACTTGAATGAATTATGTATCGTGTTTCCCAAATTTAGAAAGGATATACTAGGTGACAAAAGCTTATTTTCCATACTCACAGAAGCTATAGTTCAAAGAATTGCTGGCCTCCAAGACAAAGAGCTCACATTTCTTTCCCTGACTATAGGAGATTGTCATTTCTCCAAGCAAATGGGGCTGAAGTCCAGGAACCATTTTATCAGAGGATGCCTCTTTTTATGATATTGCTCTCACAATACAACGTCATGGTGCTGTGGCACATGGTGGGTATAAGGTTGGGATTTATAGCCAAGGAACTTTTACTCCATCTGGCTCTGATGCTTACCAGCAGTGTGAACCTTTTACAAAAGGTCTGTTTCCTCAACTGCAAAAAATGGAGATAATAATACCTTCCTATCCTCCTTACATTTTTTTCCCGTAAGCATTAGATAAGATAAGGCAGATAAGGTCCTCACATATAACAGGTGCTCAATAACCTGTAGCTAAGGATTGATCAGATAATGATGACAAGGACAAGGAAAGTGGCAGAGAAGGGTAGAGCGTGTGTTAGGTCCGTTACCTACCATAGCAGACGAGTGCGTAGTACTTGGCATAGTCGCTGAAACTTGCTGTGTAATATTGGCACCTTTTTTTCCTTAGATGGCAAGTAATGCACTTCTTGCTTGGAGAATGGCTTCCAATGCTAATTCTAGAGGGAAATGAAAATAAAACTAAAAGCTGAAATTTTGAGATTGTATTTATCAAAATGTACTACTCCGTGCAAAATGACTGATTTACATATTAACATCAAGCTCACTATTTTTCTGTTGCCAATATCATTTAAAGTAAGGGAGAATCACAGTATTTTGATTTATCTGATCTTCAATCCATCTTTGCCTGAATAGGCACAGACGTTGAGGGAGAAGCCCTCGGGGGTTTTCTGGCGGTGGGAGAAATATCTAGCACCTCAAATGGGAGCGAGGTAGTCACTTCTCATAGCTATCGATCTCTTACTTTACAAAGCGGTTGAGAATGCATAGTTCTTTCATGTCCCATGTACCATCTCTCTCCCATCTGCTCAAAGCAAGTCATGTTAAAAGGAATCACACATTATAGGAATAAACACAATGCCTGGTATACAGTACTAACTTAATGAATGTGTATTACATGAATTTTCTCAATTACTTCCTATAATGTGCGCTCCCATGGCAAAACAGACAATAAAGATTTGACAGTATCACCAAAAAAGGGGTCTCTTGTCCTTATCATATATCTAGAAGGGGAAATTAGTAATAAGCCATTTGGGAAAAAAGCCAAACAAACATGGTTCTCAGTAGATCTCATGCCTTTCATTTTATTTGGCAGGAAACCTGGGTTCCTGGAAGCTCTTCTCGGAAATGCCCCCTCCAAACGGCCCTACACAAGCCAACCTGTACCTACCACGCTGGGCCAACTCTCTGGGTAATTGACTTTAACATACAACTTCCCAGACCTTACCCCAAACCCTCAGAGTCTCATTTGGGGAGGACCAGGTGGTTTTATGCCAGGATGCAACCAGAGGTGGAGTCCTGATGCGGCTGCTAAGTTTTCCTGTGGCCACTGCAGAGTTCCTTCTACTGCTGCCCCTGACCTTGCCTTGAGCATAGCAGAGGGTGATCAGAGTCACTGCTAGCATCAGAGGGGGATTCTTCTCAACATGTGAAAAGCTATGATCCAGGAGGGAACGGAGGAATGCAGCAGAAGGAAAATTTATGTTCTCAGTGCTGTTAGTAGTATTCACATTTATATTTTGGTGTGATCTTGGAAAACATTAGGTAGGCGGTTAATAATAAGGGGTCAAGTTCAGCATGCCCAGGTATAAATCCTGGCCCAGCATCACTGACTGCATAGAGTTGTTGTTGTGATTAAATGAAATTACATATATAAAGCAGATAAAAATGTGCAAGGCCTATAGCAGACCACTAACCTGTGGAAGCTATTGTTTTCACTTCCACATCCAGAAGGGACTGTTAAGGGCACCATTCCAATCACCAAGGGGGCCATAAACTAAAACACTAATATATGAACAGAGATGAATTCCTTCTAATCATAATAGTCTCAAAGCAAGTCATGTTAAAAGAAATCACACATTACAGGAATAAACACAATGCATGGTATACAGTAGTAACTTGATAAATGTGTGTTAAATGAATTTTCTCAATTACCTCTAAATTTAGTTAAAATGTTTAATGCCATGTTTATATCAGTATTAAAATTTCTTAATTTTTCTTTTTGAAAACATTTGGTTAGTTGGTATGTTGGGGGCATTGATATACACATTCTCTGAATATTTTAATTCATAAATTAATTCTATTACATTTCAGCCTTTAAAAAATATTTTATGTATTCTGAGGACTCTGATTTATTTTTATTCAAATTTCAATATATAAAAATATTAGAATGAATTGACATAAATTACCTATAGATATTTCTTCTTCCAGGATAGCCTTCAAATTCATTGCTAGAATAAAACCTGAAAATATATTCAGAAGTTATCAGATAATTATTGATGGCTAAATGGTGATAGAATTGTTAATATAGTATTAATATAGTAACCAATATAGTCCAACTTTAATGGAATGAAGCAATTAATTGGCACTTATATACACAAATTGCTGCTGTTCATACTTCTGCATTTTATGTACATACTCTGACTTATACATATATAAAATATATTTGCACAAATATATTTATAAATTATAGGAGAAATAGTAAATTATGTTGAGTACTCTTTTTTGGTTAAACTAGGATGTTTGATTAATATCACCTCTTTCCTTTTCATAATTAACAGTTTACTGATTTCTTTGTGCTATACTATTTAATTTTGTCTATGATTTTGAACACATTTAGAATTTATTTTACAGAAGCACTGACAGTAGATCACTTTTTTATAAATCAGGAAACTCATTTACCCAAGGATACCACACAAAGGGGCAGGCTAATTTACCCACAAGCGAAACAGGTCACAAGAGAGCATGCTTGTTACTCAAGTGTCTTGGTCCCAGTTCTAACCTGTCTTAACAAAGTGGGAAATCTAATTTAATGGGCATGATTTTCTCCTCTGTGAGTTCATCTGAATATAACAAAATAACCGACATTTAATTTTTAGGAAGAGCACAATAAAGTGTTAAAAGTTTTAGGTTTGGTTTCTTATTTTTAATTCTCAGAACTTTTAATTCACCCAAGTACTTGTATATCCTCACTGAAATAATGACCTTGTTATTCCCAGTAAAAGGCACCAGTGTGCATGTTCATTGTGTCTGGATCTTTGGGACCCCATGGACTGTAGCCGCCAGGCTCTCTGTCCATGGGATTTTCTAGGTGAGAATACTGAAGTGGGTTGCCATTTTCTCTTCCAGGGGATTTTCCCAGCCCATGGATAGAACTTGTGTCTTCTGCATTGGCAGGTGGATTCTTTACCACTGAGACACCTGGGAAAACCCCCAGTGAAAGGAAAAGGCAACAGAATACACCTGGTTCCTACTATTAACTTTACCTTCAAAACCAGCATCTTTCTAAATGTCTTTACTGACTTCACATGACTCCAAACATCACTATACTTGCTTTTCCCACATCATCTCAAACTACCTGTGAATAAACTACTCAGATTTTTCCAAACTGCCTCCTACAGTTTTTTTTGTTATGTCAAAGGTTTCACGATTGTCTTTGTCTCTAACACTTAGAACAGAGTCCACATTCCCTCTTTCCCTTCCCTTTTCCCTCACAGCCACTGACTTACCTTTTCAGCCTCTGTCTCTCTTCACAGTCTGTCTACCCCTCCTCTCATTCATTTAACTATTTTGTTCCAGGCACTATCTCATGTTCCAAAGATTAAAAAAAAAAAAAAGGAGATATAGTTCTCTCTTGGAGTCTGAATTTCATTGCCACTGTTCTAGTTCAGGCTTCTGTCACCTCAGGCCTAGATTATGACCATACCAAGGTCTTCCTGCCTTCAGTTTCCCCTACCTACTAAATATATTATTCCTGAAATCTCCCATTAGGTTTTATCTTGTCACTCATCTTACACGGGCAGTTTTAATGGCTGCTCCATGTAACGGCTAAACTCCTTTGCTGACAGTTCAAAGAATTCCATGGATTGGCAATAGGTTTCTAAAAAAATTTCATCCTGTGAAGCTGGACTAATTATCTTCCTCTCTTGCTCTTGGAATTCAAGCTAACGGCAGGGTAGTTACAAAAGAGTGCCCTAGATTTGGACTTTATTAGAAGTAAAGGGGGAAAAAAAACTACACATTCTTGAGTAGAGATGTTTAATCAAAAATGCTTATTTTAAGATAGTTTATTTAGATAGTACACAGGATGGACTGAAAAGGAAAGACCTAGAAGAAAGAAGCCCCATGTTGAGGTGAATAATAAGAATCTTAGATTTAATATATTTTATGTTTAAATCCTAGTTCTACTACTAACTATGTAGCCTTGCCCAAGTTAATTAAATTTCCAAGTATCAGCTTTCTCATCTGTAAAACTGGGATTATCATTTCTACTTTATATTATGTGGTACACTGCAATCACTTAATAAATAATAGCTATTACAGATAATAATCTCAAACTGATACAACAGTGAATCACTGCAAAAATGTTTCTTATCAAGGGGCTGCCCTCATGGACTTCTGAATCTAGCTTACTGCTTCAAGTGCTAGAGGGAAAATTTGTCTTTAGGACCAGTTACTATTCTAAAACTTTTATACTTTTAATGTAATTATATACCAACTATCAGAAGAGAAATAACCACCTACTAAATGTTCTTTCCAAAAAAGGAAATTGTGTTGACTCATTATTGAAGAATGTGTAATTTTAATGAAACCACAGCTGTCTGAACTACGCTTTAGAATAAGTAATAAAAATGCTCTTAACTGAAAGCAGTGGTGCTGTAGATTTCATCCGTCCATCAGTGCCAATTAAAACCTGAATGGTGCATCAAGCTTCATGCAATACTTACAGTGAATCCTGTGTTACTCTGAATATATTTATGGCCTCCCACTTGCCACTTGTAATTTGAATAGCATTTTCCTATAAAAAGACAAACATTATGTTGTGTGAAGCTGAGCGTTATTTGAGCAACCTCAAGTGAATGATCTTTCAGGAGATAAATCTTGGAAGGAACATACCACAGTGTCTTTGATATAGTGAATATGTTTGTAGCCATCCTTGTCGCTAAATATTTTGTAGTATGAAATGGTATCATGGCTGAACACTGGTGTTGAAACAAAGAACTGAAAGAAATGAACAGAGGTTATGTTCAGGAGACAAACCAAACTAAACTGACTGATTTTTTAAAAGCCATGTGTAGTTACAATTATCAGGACCAGAAAGTCTTGCCCTCCCTACCTTCCGGCACTCACACCCTAGATCCCATCCTTTCAAATGGACAGCTTTTCTGGTGCTTCTAACAGACACTTATACATTCCAACTACTGCTTAATTGCTAATACATATCCTTGGGTTCATAGTGCTTAGTTTGAATTTCTGTATTCTGAGATTACGTGGTTTGACATAGTTAAAAAAATTCACAAATGAATGTTGATGTTTAACCAAGTCAAACTTCAAAATGTTATATTTGACTAAAATGTTACTCTTCTGAAGGCTGATAGCCTCTTTTATTTCTTGATTTGTTTGATGTCAAGCACCTGATGCTGATGATGGAATAAAGGCATTTTAAAGATTAAAATATCATGAACAGCTAGTCACAGCTTTTAATGGCAGAAAGGGACTTCTGGACTTGAGAGAAAAATGCAACCAATGACAAGACAATGAAAGGTGCACTCTTTGAGCTTAGGGAGCAGACCAAGCCTCAGTGTTCACCTCTGACCTCTTCCCAGGGCCCGTGTTCACCACCTGTAGGGAACTGCTTAAGGCCTGAGGAGTTTCTGCCACGGGTCTTGTGTGTCCTGAACAGAGCAAACTACAACTCAGCATCCTGAAAAGTACAGATAATTAAAGTCCGGCAAATGTCCTGACATCAGATTTTAGCTAGTAGTTTCTCCATTAGAAAAAGAGACTCACTGTACATTTGCTGGCTTCCTTTTTTATCCTGGTCATTGGGTGGAGGAAGGATGGTAATGTGGTGAAGGGGCTCCATGAGGAAAGAGCTATTCTACATCATACAGAGCAGATATTCCTGCAAGTTATTCCAAACTAGATTTCTTAGCAGGAGTGCCTCTGCATGACAGTGTTAAAACATTCAGATCCTTTACAATTGTCCAAGCAACAACAATCAAAAGACTAACGGTATCTTTCGGCTACAAACACCTAACTTGCTGACACTCATCTTGCCAGGACACACTTTACAGCAAGGGAACAAGGGAAGTGGTTGTAGGTATTTTTAATGATGGTCCTATGTGTAATTTGACATGATGTTTTTTAATAAAAGTCATGATTATGATTGAATGATATTAAAGTGTAACTTTTTGATGTGGTATCTGTGGGGTCTAACTAATGTCCCCCAAATTCTTTTCCACCTAACCCAGAAGATAACTGTTATGGACTGAACGTTTCTGTTCCCCCAAATTCATATATTGAAACTCAGCCCCTATTAAGATGGTATTTGGTATTAAGAGGTGGGGCCTTGGGAGGTAATTAGGATTCGATGAGGTCATAAGGGTACAGCTCCCACGAATGGGATTAGCCCACTTAACAAGAATCACCAGAGTGTCCTGCTGCTGCTCTGCTCTCCGCCATGGAGGATACAACAAGAAGTTGACAGAAGAGAGCTCTCACCAGAACCTGACTATGCTGGCATCCTCATCTCAGACTTCCAGCCTCTAGAACTGTGAGAAATGACTTTCTGTTGTTTATAAGCCACTCAGTGTAGGATACATTGTTATAACAGCTCAAACAGAGTAGGATAATGACCTATTTGAAAATAGCATTTTCACAGGTGTAATCGAGGTTAAGAACTGAGATGTGACCATAGTGGATCCAAGTTGGCCCTAGAACTGATGACTGGTGTCCTCATGAGAAGAGATGAGGGTGCAAAGAGACCCAGGGGAGTAGGTCACATGAAGATGAAAGCAGGTGTTGGAGCTGGTGGAGCTCCAGCCAAGAAAGTCCAAGGATTGCCAGGAGACCAGAAGCTGGAAGAAGTCAGAAAGGATTTTTCCCTGGAGACATCTAAGTATGGCCCCACCAACCCGTTTACATTGGACTTCTAGCCTCCAGAATGATGAAAAAATGAATTTTTGTAGTTTTAAGCCAAGTTTGTGGTAATTTTTTACAGACACCCTAGGAAACTAATATGGTGTGCTTATCTCTTTGGCATAAAATTGATGTTTTTAATAAAATAAAAAATGGAATAATGAGAAACTGCTGTCTCCTTACATGATCCTCTTATTAGGTCCACTAATCATAAGACCAATCCTGGTAGGATTCTGTGTACAGACTCAGTGAGATTGAAAGCCAGAAGGCCCCTAAATAGGAAATTCTGATTTGCAATTTTGTGGAAGGAACTTCATTAGTAGTGACCTGAAAAATCATTCTTTCATTTTAGAATGAGGCTTCACCCTCTCAGCCAAGTGATTCCTTATTAGTAAACACTTTACAGTGTCCCCCTCTCCCCCTCAAGATGAAAGATGCAAATTGGCTCCACACTGTCTCAACCACTGTAATGGAACTGGGGTCACAAATACTCTAAGGTACCTTAGTGAAAAAAATACTCTCTTTACATCTGCAGCAAGTTAAGGAACTCTAAAAACGGCTTAGTTCCAGATTAAAATAGGAAATTTCATTTTCATTGAAAATAGAAAGTAAGAGGGCAGAACATTATGTTTCAAGATATTAGAATCAGGCAAACAGGAAGAATATTTTTGTTAGGCAAAGACTGTTATCTTCTCCCCTTTAATTGCACACATCCAAGACAGATGCTTTAGATGAACAGGTAACTTGGGTGAGGTAAAGAGAGTGTAAAATATTTCCGCATTCACTCTGCCAGAGTGAGATCCATAATGCATCCTGAGTTAAGTGCTCGGGCAGCAAGTCACGCCTGGGCCCTAGATAACCACATGTCACTAGGTGGTCCTCAGTTTAACAAGACATCCTCACAGCTCCCTTTATCATGCTTAGATGTGCTGATAAACTCCTCATCTCTACTTACAAAGTCATTTAAAATATTTTTCGTGGAAGGTAAGATGATTTAACACCAGTTAATTTTTTGCCACAGATGGTAAATAACCTGCTTATGGAAGGCTGATGCCTAAACTGAGTCCACATTTAGTCAAAGGCACAGACTTCCAAGCATCAAGTAAAGCATCCATTTATCTGAGCCATAGGATTTCACCAACCACTCAAATGTGATGTGGTGTATGGCTTAATTATTTTTAAGTGATTTAAATGTGGCTTTGTAGTCTAAGCATTATGTGTTTAGTATTTGTTCTTCACATTTTATTGATTAAATACTATTAATAGAGTCTTTGATAAAGTCTCCTTATTTTGTTTGCTCTCCACAGGACAAAAAAAAAAAAAATTATTTGAAGTGAATTTGTTATTTTTCTGATAAAATACCAAAGAAGAAATTAGAGAATTTCCCCCAAATTAAGACACAATATCTCATGCAGAAGAAAAGGAAGTGACAAAGTTCTCAAGGAAGTATTTGCTAGTTGTCTGCCTGAATTAATAGGTTAACTGCCATTTAGTCTCTTTTCTAGTCCATACATGATCTCTGAAGGCCTTTTTCATTTTAAACCTCTTTGACAAATATTAAAGGAAAAACTGGTCTAAAATTGCTCTTTAAATTTATATTAATATGACTAGCCTATACACTTTATCTAAAACCCTCATAAATATTATTTGAACAGATGTCCAAAAGACAAATATTTCTAGGTTATTTCTGGGTAATTTTATTAAGCCACTGGTTTGATTATGGGTCAAAGGAAGCTATGCAGCACATTATGACATATGAGTTATGACTATATAAAGTCATGACTCCAAAAGGTTTGTCAGGACTTATAAAATCTAATGAATGGCACCCTTGAAAATAGTTGCCTTGGGGAAGTGTGAACTCACTCTTGAAAACTGTCACTTCAAAAATTTTTCTGCAATTCTAATATTCAGAAAGTTAATGACTATTGGATACATTTGGAGAGATTGAGATTAGTACACAGGAAAACTACTTTTTCCCAATAGAATTCTAAAGCTATAAATACTATAATGATCTAGTGTAAAATCATATTTTGCAGATACATGTTTCACTTATTCACTAGATTTATTTTGGCATGACGTTTGGTTTAATGTCGAGACCTCATTCTCCCTCAAAGGGCATGTATATGCTTTCACTGAGGGTATGTAAAACAATGTTCTAAAACTTTAGAAGGCAATTCATTCATTCATTCAGCTATTGTTTGCTGGGATTAAAAGATTGGTGCTATACAGACTATAAAATTTTCCAAGGTACAATTGTCCTCAACATGCTTATAAACAGATTTCAAAAGATGTATTTTAAAGTATTTCAGAGTGTTCTGAATGGTGCCAATATTTTCAGAATAAATGTGTATGGATTCCTAAGATCACATCTTTGATAAGATTGCTGGTATCATGGTTTATCTATTTGTAAAATCACATCATTCATATTAGTTTATAGAAACTCTAGCTATATCATTATCATAGAGAACACAGCTAAAGACATTTTCAAGTATTCTTTCTTCTCTCATTTTTTACAGGAAATCTCTATAATGACAGTGAACTTATAAATTAAATTTTTCCCTTTTCTCAAGTTTTCAAATGCTGATCTAGGAATTATCTTTCTGGAAGGCAAACTTCTGGTTGACCTAGAATCCAAAAAATTTAGAAAACCCTGTTCTTTCACTGACTTCTTGCCTTTTTTCCTGTTACTTATACAATGTTAAACAGTGAAATAAAATAGGATTTTCTTTTCTTTTTCCCCTGAATTAGACACTTATCCTTGTAACCTTGTTAGGTGGTGCTAGTGGTAAAGAACTTGACTGCCAATGCAGAAGACATAAGAGATGCTGATTTGATCTCTGGGTTGGAAGGATCCGCTGGAGGAGGGCAGGGCAACCCACTCCAGCATTCTTGCCTGTAAAATTCCATGGGCAGAGGAGCCTGGTGGGCTACAGTCCATAGGGTCACAAAGAGTTGGACTTAACTGAAGCGACTTAGCCTGCACCCATGTACATTTACTTGCATAAAAAAATAAAGTAATAACTATTCTTTAGTTAGGGGCTTCCCTGGTGGCACAGACAGTAAGAATCTGCCTGCAGTGTGGGAGACTGGGGTTCAGTTCCTGGGTCAGGAGGATCCCCTGGAGAAGGAAATGTCTCCACTCCAGTATTCTTGCCTGGAGAAGTCCATGGACAGAGGAGCCTGATGGGCTGCAGTCCATGGGGTTGAATGAGTCGGACAAGACTGAGCGACTAACACAACAAAATTCTCTAGTTAATGAATAAAGCTGAAGTACCTTTAACTGAAGATAGAAAGTAAATATATGTAAGCTACAATTGCTGGATCCAGGAAAGTATACAGAAAATAATTTTCAATACCTGAAGATATTTACTTCACTCTCCATCTTAATTTAAATTTTACAAGACTTATCATCCCAGAATTTACTTCTGACTTCTTTATTGTCCCTTGTCTTGGGTTAATGTATTAAACTAGTTAAGAGTTTCTTTTTTCTTTGCATGTGTCCAAATCTCAGAAGTAGCTTTTCTTTTTTGTACCCAAATGTTAGTTGAATTCAACCACATATTTGTGATAAATGGTAGCATTCATACAATATTCGTTTATTATTTGTCTTAGTTTGTATTCTTCATATGAGATATAAGATACAATTGATGTTTTCCTAAAACATGATTTAGTTTTACACAAAAATCCTTATAAATCACTGAACAAATCTATCCAAAATAATACAGATATATATGATTACAAACTGTAACAACACATACACTCCCCTAACTGATACCACTTTACTTAAAAACTAGAATAAGAATGGGTATGTATGAAATTAATCTATTCATTTATTTATACAAAATATATTGAGAAGTAAGGTTGTCTCTAAACCAAGGATACCAAATGTAATTATTTTCCCTGGATTCAAATGGCTAAAAGTTATCAAGATTATTTTAAGCAATTCAGGGATTGCGTTCCCTTTTGAAAAATGATATTTATTACATTTTTAAAGAAGCAATATTAATTATACATATCAAAGAGTTGGTTGAAAAAGTTAAGAACAGACATGAGGTATATGATTCATTCTCAATAGAATTCTAGATATGGACATTAAAATTGTCTGTCACAAAATTGCTGAAGGGATCACTACCTTTGTGTTTTTTACCTTGTTATTTTTCTATAAAATGCCAGTTTGGATACATTTCAAATAGTCCTTTAATAGCTGAGAATTTCATTAAAAGATAAGGAAAAGATAGCAATCATACTCCACCAGCCCATCCAGTTCTGCTTTCTTCTATATGCTCCTGAGTCTAAGAGAGAAAAAAAAAGATCAAATGAAACATAGTATTAAGAGGACAGTTTTTCCTAAATATAATCTGGACATTTGAACAAGTTAAGCTGCCTGGTCAGAGTGAACTACTGTTAATCAACCAACTACACACTTGAGTTGAAGATGACTATATTCAAGATGTTATACAACATCACTATTGCATACATAAGGATGATCTGAGTGCTGCATCTTATTGCAAATCATTCATAATTCTGGTTAAATTCTCCATAAGTCAGTGGCTGGAATTAAGAAAATATCTGTGGAGACCTACCACAAACTAAACTCTTGTCTTGTAGGTAAAAAGGCATTTCCCAGTGGAGTTTAGGTTAATTTTTTTTTCTTTTCTCAATCTTATAAAGTAGCTAGAAATCTTAAAATTTGCACTGAATCTTATTTTTGGTATGTACTTGAGGATAGTACAATAAATCCTTTATTGAACAAATAACAAGCCTAAAAATGAATAAATTTTATAAACAGTTAAATGAAAAATATTCTAGATGGAATAAATAGCATAGAGATGAGGCTAGCTTAGAAAACCACAGGTGGCTCAGTATGGCTGAGTGGGGGCTGACTGTGGGAAAGAATTAGAAGATAAGGGAGAATGTAGGGGCATCAGCAAAATCTTGGAGAAAATTTTATGCCACAACTAGGAAATTTGGATTTCTCCTGTGGATGATAAATCCTTTGAAAGTTTTCAAATCACAATTTGAAAAATATAATTGTGAACGTGATACAGAGAAGAGATAAGAAGTGGGTAACATAGTGGGAGGCTTCCCTGGAGGCTCAGCAGTAAAAAATCTGCCTGCAATGCAGGAGATGTAGATTTGATCCCTGGGTCAGTAAGATCCCCTGGAGAAGGAAATGGCAACCCGCTCCAGTGTTCTTGCCTGGAGAATCCTATGGACAGATGAGCCTGGCGGGTTACAGTCTTTGGAATCGCAAAAAAAGTCAGACATGACTTAGTGACTAAATAACGATATTGTAAAGTTTGGAAAAAAGGTGCTGAAGACCTATCTAGGTAGTGGTAGTGATGGTGGAGTAGAGCAGATGTAGCCAGAGATACATAAAAGTTCAAATCCTCAGAATGAATTTGTGGGGCAAGTGGTAATTGAAACTTTCCTGTATTAGATAAAAATCACCTAGGAGAGTAACACAGTGTTGGGATAGAGACTAGGATAATTAGCAATCATTTATTTCCTGGTTTTGCTAGGACTTGAGGTAGGCTACATTTCCCAGGCCCCCATCCACCTGGATGTGGTCATGTGTAAGTTCTAACCCATAGCTTTTGAGCAAAAGTAACTTGTGCTACTTCTATATCAAAACTATAAGAGCCTTTCACACATATCCTCCATTCTATTTTCACTCCCTAGCTGGATGTTGATGACCAGGTTTGAATAACCTTGGAGTATCCTTAGAAGTTACTGGATGAAGACAGTAGAAATGTCATCAACCTCGGTTCCCGAATGACCCTGTGGAGCAGAGCACCCATCCCTCACCCTCACTGTTTCCCACGTACCCGGACTCACTATTAGATTGTTACAAGAATGTGCAAGCCTACTGTATTAACCCGCTGAACTTTTGGAAGGGTTTTACTGTTGTTATTGTTACAGCAGATAGCCTATCTTGCAAATGCATTAACTTGAAGAATAATAAGACTTCTAGAAAAGTCAGAAGAGGAAGAGCTAGAAAGAAACAGTAAACTAGAAAGAGAAACATGAGAGAGTATATAGTCATAAAAAGCAAAGGAATAATGAATTTTAAAAGCATAGTTTGGATTTTCTCTTATAGGGATAGGCCAGTGTTTCAGAAAAAACAAGATAAGACTTAATAGAGTGAAATGTTTTTATTCATCATTTCTAGCTATTAAGATAAAATTAATTTTAATTCTCTTGCAGAGAATAACATTATGAAGGATGTTCCTCCTCCAAACTACAAATTTATTAATATAGTTATATTACAAGTAATTATTGCCAGTTTCCTTTGCTTCTTTATTTTGGGTATGACTCCCAACATGAATAAAGTGTTGCCAAGTCTCTTAACCTTAAATGTTGTTTGTTTTCAAAACTAAACACACACACACACATCAGTCATAAGTATGGTTACTGGAAAATTCATCTCTGTTGTTCTTAAATCTGAAAAATATGTTCCATTTACTTACCAGACTATTTTGAAACTGCAGTTGTTTTGAAATTTTAAGGTTATTCAAACCTGGTATTCTAAACTTAATCACTGATTTTGGCCATAAAACTAAAGTTTATATTCCAGGGAATTCCACGTCTCATTGAATGAGCATCTTATACGTTCTGTCAGTTTGGATTAAGTTGTCTCAGATTTGATAAATTAGAAATTCAAATTCCAAAGCAATTATAGTTTTAAATGCCTAGTTTTAAAAGCTAAAAATTTTATCTAAATGACCAGTCTTATAAACTAATATAATTAAATCAATAATTCCTAGTATTGAGATTCAATGAAGACATTAACAATATATTCACCCAATTGTTTCTATTTAACTAGAAAAATTAAATTTATTCTATCTTTTCTTTTTGCCTATGACACTGCATTAATGCCAAAAATCTTCCTGCTTTGTATATCAAAACATAAATAAGATAAAAATAAACTTCTAGCATATTCCATCAAAATTAGTCAAGCTTCTTACAGACACAGTAGTGATTTAAAAATATTTTTAGTCTGAGTAATGTTGACTATTATAGTCCTGATATATTTCCAAACAGATTCATATGACTTTTTTCTTGCAAAACACAATGTCCTAATTTCTAGATGGAATTTAGTGTTTAACTTTGATTGCTCTGTGCTTTTTTTCTTACTTTATAAAATAGGTTTATTCTATATTTGGTTTAATGAAACATTTCTTCATAATTAGATGTCTCATGAAATGTACCCATCAAATTTCCTATTTAAAGAAAACATTTTGTGTTTCTTAGTCTCTAATATGAGTACTTATGAACAGGCCTATTTTGAAGCTTTCTGATTGGAGAAGTAGCTTTCTGACTCATTAATTCAACAGATTATGTTTGGATTTGAGCAATAAAAACAATTAAAACTCAACAATAAATCTGTGCCTAGTTTTTTAAGTTTTTTTCTCCCTAAAATTAGCACAGTATTGAGCACTCTGCAAAGATAACAGGATAGCAGGATAATTAAATCTGTTTCATATCATTCTCAGTTACCTACTTTTGATTTTCAAATAGAAGCGTTTGGTTTTCCTTTGATAATATTTGTTTACTTTGGAATTCTTATTTTTCAGTTTTGACATTGAATAGAATGTTTGCGTTTTTCTCGAATTCTTTTGAGTAGAACATATCTACTTCTTTAACAGATCCATCTTATGTTTTCATCATCATTATTTTGCTTTTTTGGACTGACAATTTATAATCTCAAAAGGATGGACTTCCATTCTTATTTAAAACCAGATACCTGATTTTCCCAGCATGGCATTGTCATTTAATCTTTTTCTCTATTCAGTTTCAATGTTAAAGTCATTCGAGAAAACAAAAGTTATCTTACTTGTTTAATAAAAATAATGAAACTTCAAATAGTGTTTTTTGCAAAGCAATCAGGAGTTAAATGCAGTAATTCTATATATATGTATGTATACACATATCTGTTAGCTATAGATAAGTCCCCACTCTTGTACTTTTATCTTCAGAAATACACCTCTGTGGTTTTAATACAACATACCTTTGGACAGTTCCATGTCTGCCAGTCTTCCCTGAAATCACATGTAGACAAGACTGAAACATTTTGGATTCTTTTTAGCCACTGCAAACATATTCGATCATCAGTAACCCATGTGAGCCAGCTGAAATAATAATCACTGCAAACAAATCAAAACAGAAAGTCACAACTATAAATCAATGTCACATTCAAATAATTTCTTAATTTGTGTTTTCTAAAGGACATATTTCATTATTCTGAAACACTTAAGCTACAGGTAAGGAAGGCAAAATATTCTTTTAAACATTAAAAAATGTGAATATACCTGCTGACTTTTAGAGAATATACAAGAGTTCACTGATCTAATAGAATTATTTTATAATTGAGTTTTCTCCCCAGTTGGGATTTTAATCTTAGGAAAAAAATTAAGATTACTGGCCAACCTAGAGGACAAAAAAGCATTAAATTGCCTATTTTTCCATAGCTGAACTCAAGTTTTCACTTTTTAACTAATTAAAAGAGAGTTAAGTGGGTAAAAGACCATCTTTCTTTCCCGGCAGGTTTGTGTTGGAAGCTGAGTTTTAGCTGCAGGTCAGGGTTGAAATTTGGGTTAGTATAATAATCAGAGATAGTGTATGCAAAGTAACTCAAACAGTGCTTGGCACAAAGTGGATATCAGTGAAAGGAAGCAATGATTACTTGGCTCTGAGGTTGAATGTGTAAAGAACAACAACGTAAATGAACCACAAAATGTTGGACCTTGTTGTAAAAGGAATCATAGAGCTACAAGGGATCTCTGGTTCAGAGTCTGGCTTTATCTCCTACTAGTTATACTACCTTGACTAACATATCTGTGCCTCTGTTTCTATATAATATGGGAATAATAACATTACCAGTACGAAAGGTTGCTGTAAAGATTTACTAAGAATGCTTAAAGTGCTTACAAACTATACATACAACAGAGTGAGTGCTCAAAAAATGTTAGATATTATTACTATATTGTTAGTGTATTACAGATGCTCAAATGATGCTTTCTTTCATTCTGCATTGCCTCTTGAAGAGAATGATACATAAAAAATTCAGATATATTTAGTCCAGTTTTCATCAACTAGATTAGGGTGGGGAATAATGGATAATTGAAAAATATAAAAAAGAATTTTTGATTATCCAAGAGCAGATTCACCTTGGCAAAGTCCGGCAGAGGCCTCTGACGAGGTGTTTTTTCCTATTAATCAATCATCTGGCCCTGGCTGACCTTCCTTCCCGAGGCAGGAGAAGGGGAGTCAAGCCTTGTTCTGAGGGGATGTGGGAAGGAATAAGGAGGCCAGCCAGGCAGGGCTTATGGACCCCTCCCCTTTTTCCATATCAACCAGAATGACCAGGATTAATCAGACAAGATCTCAACGGGCACCATGCTGCTACCTTTCACAGAAATGAAAATGCTTCTGTCCAGGTCTGCCTGCAGTTCATCCACAAACAGGTACTGCTACAACCAGATCAATTCAAATAGACTGCATCCTAGTGAAAAACACTAATATTTGGAGGGGGTTGGCTTATCTTCTCCTGTTTGCCATGCACATATAATAAGCATGATCTGCAAATGCTGGGAAAAAGTAGGCCAAACTTGAAAGAAGCCAGGTTGAGAGCATGCATGAATTTTACTATCTCCTTGTTTGTCCTTAGCTTACACTCACACATTCAAGGGAAGCAGCATTTAGACTGAGTACTCTGGTCATGTTTATATGTGTGAAAAGGGTTAGTATGTTCACCTCAGTTTAAAAAACTTATTTGTGAATTTTAATTTTCCTATGTATTTACCTTGGAATACTAATTTATTTATTTATTTATTTTTGTTGTAGCATAGTCATTGCAAACTCGCTAGAAAAGAAATGTAAACCCTGATGAAGAAATTTCAGTGCTAAAATTCAGTTTGAAAGGTGGGGAGCATCAGAGATGAATATACCTTGAGGCTATCATTGCTGGTACTGGCACTTCTCTGGGACCTACATGCTCAGGGTAAGTGGCATCAATGATAAATATCCGAACAACGGGGTTCTTAGCTCCAGCCTGTGAAGAAAATGGAGATAGATAAACTCACAAAATTCTCATTATCACCAACATTTTAGAGACACTTTTGGAATTTAGGCATAGTTTTATAAGCTAATAATTATTAGATATATTATTGTTGAAAACATTCTAATTATAATGTTTACAAATTTCATTGCAGTGTAATTACAAATACTGTGCAACTAGAGTGAAAATACATACTTTTAGTGATTAATGGGAGCTTTAATTCATAGGGAAGACTATTAGGGATTAAAAAATTCAGTTCCATAATCGATACTCTCTTTTCTGACTTTTAAGGCAGATAGTTTGCACTATTATTATTGTTATTAGGATAATTGTAATAATATTTCTCCATGTGCCAAGGGGAGTGCAGAGGGAGCTTGATGTGGGGAAGGGAGTATAAAGAATAAATAATGAAAGATACTTTTCGCTTTTACCTTGTAATTTGATCTAGGACAATTACCAAACAGTCTGCTAGCTGCTTAAATTATTACTGCTTTCAATGCCCCCAAATTAGGAAAATTCCACCTCAAAATAAAATGTCATGTGATTTACACTGTTCTTGCTTTGTGCTTTTTGCCTTAGTATATGCCCTAGGTTTACATGACAGTGTAGTTCATGCTCACATATCTTCTTAGAGTTCTGTTATTTTAGCACAGAAAAAGAGAATCTTAAAATTGTCAAATAATTTAAATCCACAAAAATTAGGCATATAGGCTATATATATAGTTGCCTCACTTCTCAGTCCAGTGTCAGATGTTCAGCAGCTTCAGCTTCAAAGAAACAGGAGAATTTGGGTCCTGACTTCTCTGTCAGTGTGAGTTACTCCTCACTTCCGGGTTTCTTCATCTCTTCCTGCTCCATACAACCTTCTAAATATTCAAGTTCTTTTCCATCTTTTGGGTTCCAAGGATCACACCTCTCACTTCCAAATACCTCCAGCTTCCGGACTTAATATACAACCTTTGAAGGATCTTCTACCTAAACAGACACCCTCCCCCATATTCATTTCCTTTTCTCATATGATTTTTAATATAAATTTTAGACTATTTGGAATTTCTATTTCTCTCACTATGGCCACTTTGACTTGCTTCAGAATCCACTTGTGTCTATGCGTGTCCTGCCCATCTTTGTCACATATAGGGACCTCTATAACAGGGTTCCCTTTGGCAAGGAAAAACAATAGTGACTTAACAACAAAGAATTACATTCTGAAATCACTTCTACTCCTCGTGCCAGAGGAGAATTTGTGATTTGATCTTTCAGATTTCTTTTCTAAATTAACTCAGAATATGACATTTCTCCACTGTGACACGGCCATTCTGGTGGAATCTATTTTCATGAGGCCTCTTATTTTCAGGAGGCCTCTCTTGAGACATGAGACTGCATGTGAAGTACATAAGCTAAGAATTTTAGAATTTTTATGTAAGAAACATTGGTTCACAGCATGTCTAATTCCCTCAAAGAAGAACCTAGGCTCATAAACTTAAACTACCATAAATGTCCAAAAAAGACCATAACTCCTACTTGCTTTGACCTGACAGGAACATCACATTCAAAGTCTTAATTTCCCATTCTAGTTTGCATTTAGATCAGAATTCAAAAGGAATTGCAAAACAGAACTTTACCCTGAATTTGGAGCATGAAGTAAGAAAAAAATTAAAATTAAGTTAAGCTTGTTTTTCCTCCATGATCTAGACCATATGTTTTTCAAAGACTGCAATGGATTTTGCAAAGACTACTTCATCCAGCACAACCAGATGTCCAAAGCAACAGATGTCCACATAAATAATAGAGCACAGTACAATGTTTGCCTTACAATGCACAAGGATAAGCAGCTCTCCAAACTTGTTGATTCCACCTCTATTCACGGTATTGGTTGCTCATTTTGACAGCAGGGAAATGGAAGTATCTGCTAAAAGTATCCCACATACCTTTGGGTATGGAATATTTATTGTTCTAGGATATTGTTCATCACCATAATAGGAATAGGCAATAACTGGTATCTCTGTGTCATTAAATTCTGCATACGCCAAAAATTTTCCATTAGGAGACCACCAGAGAGCATATTTTGTAGCAAGCATTTCCTCTGAAAAACAAATACTAGCATATTATTATTAGTTACTAAGACGGCTTACTCAAAATAATTGTAAATACTTCAAAATATATTGTACATAGCCATTTATTAACTGAAATAATTTCTTTAATGTGGATGTGGTATATACCATGCTTTGGTTATCAAAAGATGAATAATCTGGGTGTAGAGGAGTAGTTTAACCTTATATCCCGTATCAAACATCAATTAATCTACTGGGGAATTGAAATTAATCAGGAATGTATTTTTTAAAATAAAATCTCAACAATAATTAATTTTCCCATTGGGGGGAGCTTCTTTACAGTCATCTAAAGTAGCCAAGACAAGGAAAACCATGCTTATACTACAGAGCAACATAAATTTGAAAGTTAACTTTCTGTTCTGGGAATTAAAAAAAAAAATGGTTAATTTAGTTATATACATATATTTTTTAAAAAGGCAAGGACTAGAAGAACTTTTAAAGTCCGGTTAAGTCCTGGATCCTACATGAGCTAAGAGGACAAAATTAATGACAGCATTAAGAGCTAAGAGTATTTTCCTGCACTATAATATAGACAGCTGTTTAGTTTTGGATAAAAGGTTTATTTTGCAAGAAAAAAATAAACCTGAGAAAATATACTCACACAGCATGTAAGGACCATATACTTCTTAGAATATAAATTATTGCTACTGCTTTATAATGCTCATGAAAATAAATTCCACCAGTCTGATAACAAGATTTTGTTCTTTCAGAATATGCACGTCCTGTTCATAACCTGATAACAGCTTTCAGAAATGCCACCCTCATCACAGTAACATACCACTCATCTAAATGTTACTAAATGCGTGTGATTATTTTCAATTAAAAGCCTAACAGCAGCAGAAGAAAAAGAATACAACGTACCTTCATAAACCCAGTCTGGGATTCCATTAAATATTTTATTTTCTTTTCCATTATATGTTATTTGAAAAGGTGGGTCTTCTGGTCTTTGCTTCAGATAGATGTTGTTTTGATAGACATATGCCTAGAAGTGGTGGTAAGTTAGTTAATAAGGAGAAATTTCATAAGAAATACAATAAAGTTTGCATATTTATGTTAATTATTCACCTAATACTTTTAAAAAGAGTGATAAGCCAGATATGAAAAAACTCACAACTAAGATACCATTTTAACAGGTCAAAAAATACCAACCAACTCACATTAACATTGTGATTTTTAACATATAAAAGTTACGATTTTAAAGTCTATATATTAAATAAAGAATAAAGTTTGCTATTATATTAGTTGCTTTTATTACCTAAGTAAATAATTGTGTATATTAACAGAAAGTCAAATAAATCTCTGAATATTAATAGCTAGCCAGATCTAATCTTTATTTAGAGTCCTTAAATAAGAGCTTGGACAAAATTTCATGTTGTCTGAAGCTAGTCTGGGAAACTTGTGAAAACCATATTTTTCCTGAGCTTTCTGGCACAACGCATTCTGGCTGAGTATGAGGATAAAGTTTTTGACTGCGATATTTAAAGAAGTCTATCCATGAGCTTGAGATTTTGCGGAATTCTCAGATGGGTTTCAATTTATCTAAACTCTTCCCATTTTTAACCACTTAAAATAGTCATAAATGTATTTTTTTTCAGGCAGGGAAATTTAACAAAGGCCAAAATCAAATGGCTCCTCTTTTATTTAAATGATTAAACAGTTCTATAATTTAAACACTTACTAATTTACTCCCAACAGGCGACCAGCATAAATACTGAATTGGACGAGGAAGCTCATTTCTTCTTATAAACTCCCTAGAAGAAAAGAAAGAAAGAAAATAAACAAATAAATGAACTTTGCAGTTCAGGGCAAATAATAGGTATAAAAATAAAAAAATAAATAAAAATAAAAATAATGCATCATCATCTGTGCTTCTGCAAATCTAATAGAAAAGAATGTGATATAACATGAGACAGAAGTCATGGGGTGGTAGTTGCAGGTCTTCACTAGTTCACAGGTCATTTAATGTCTCTGGATCTCAGTTTTCTGACATTTTATACTGAGGTGAATGGATTAAATGTTTACAGACTAAGTGGAAATACCTCTAGAAATTATCTAATTGAATGTCCCTAGTCTTGTGCAAATAAACTTGAGATTAGAGTAATGATAGGACTTTTAAAAAATAATATTGCTAGTCCTTGGCAGACCCCTCATTAAACTCAAGTCTCTTAACCCTCAGAACTGTAAAATTTGTACACACCAGGCTGAAATGGTCGCTAAAGATACTTCCAGCTCTGAAATTCTATAATTGTGCTAAAGTTTAATATGTACTCTTCCACATTTTCATTCACAACCCCCATCCCTGTGAATGCATATGCATTTCAAATTTTTGAAAATAAGATGCCATTTGACAATCTCCCCCGGGATCTGACTTGAAATCAGAAAAGGAAAGGAACATCTGATCTCAAGCTAAACTGAAAAACAGATCATATACTGGGCAGTATGCCTTAAGCTTGAAAGTCCTCCACCCATGGGGAAATTTCAAATATGCATGCTTGTGTGCTAAGTCGCTTTAGTCATGTCTGATTCTTTGTGACCCTATGGACTGTAGCCTGCCAGCCTCCATCTGTCCATGGGATTCTCCAGGCAAGAATACTGGAGTGGGTTTCCATGCTGTTCTTCAGGGGATATTCTCAACCCAAGGATCAAACCCGCATCTCTAATGTCTCCTGCATTGGCAGGAGGGTTCTTTCCCACTAGCGCCACCTGGAAGCCCAATTTCAAATATACTATTGGCCAAAAATCTCACTTTGATGCTTCAAGTTGCCCTGCAAATACTCAGTTGACTGACTTGCACCGTGGAGATTTTGTAGTTCTTCAGCAAGAATGTGTTCAGACTTTTATAAGTGTTAAAGAGTCATAGCATGTCTTGTTTAAATTTTGACTGTTATCTTCTTGAAGATGAAATGAATAGTTTCATCAAGAATGCTTGTGTGGAGATGCAAAACAAGACCTGCCTCCAAAGTATAATGTGAGGCACCTGAAGGAAGACTCCTTGTTTGCCCCCTCCAAAAACATCTCTCCAACCTGACATAGGCTTGCTATTTCTATTTCTCCCATCATTTTAAAGTTTGGACACTTGTGAACACTTATAACACATGTGACCTTGATTTAACTTATTACATCACTAAGTATGATGTAGCCTAGCAAACATAAAGTATATTGCCGCCTAGCAAACAATGAGGGAACATGGCACTGGACAGATCAACTGTGATTGTAGAAAAAGTGATGGCCACAGAGGAAGAATGTTGGTTTTGCAGTGGGAAACCTGATCGTAGAAGGCATTTTATGAGCACCAGGCCACTAGAATGTTCGGAACAGATCAATGTAGGAGGGCAGAGGAAAAAGAATGTCCCAGAAGAGAAGACATTCACCCCAGTTTACTGCTATGTCTCAAATCAGTGTCCGTGTTACCTTGACATTGTAACATTGCTTTAGGTTTCCATATCCCATGGAATCATCTATGCAATCATGCAGACAAGCTGAAAATCTCAGCCCACAGTCTCTTCATGGCTAGCAAGTCACCACAGCTGCCATTGTCTGTTTTACTGTATGATAGAAAATGGAGGAGGGTTCTTTACAAAGGCTTTCATCTCCTCAGTTACCCTTCCTTTGCTGGAAACCAGAACTATGCTCATCTTCTCTAAGGTAGATTTTTTAAATAAAATTTTCAGAGGCACATAGAAGCCTTGGAATGAGCCTTGGAATATTCAGTCTTGCCTTGAATTTCAACAAATTTGTCATTCTTCACTCCTTAAATTATGGTGTATTCCCCTGACCAAAAAACAATCTGGCAAATTAGATAGTTGTGCAGGAAAACAAACAAAACAGTGGTTTGATTAAATTCACTGCACAAAAGCTAAATATTTAAAATGCTTCTAGGCCGTGAAGTTTATAGAAACCATGATTAAAAAACTAGTATTGTCATCTTCTTTTGGAATGCTATTTAATTTGGTGAACCTCCACAGAGATAGGACTTGGAGAATTTAAAAATGACTAAAAGAAAAACAAGGAAATGATTAAAGCCTTGAGAAATTCTACTGAAAGGGTAAGGTTTCCACTTCACTAGTCTAAAGATTTTGAGAATAGGGTTGCCACCTCAGACTCACTTGTGTCTCCCCATCACATGTCTGTCTGTGCTTGAGCTCACTTGCATCTCATCCTTTACGACCCTTTGAACTGTAGCTCACCAGGCTCCTCTGTCCTTGGGTTTTCCAGGCAAGAATACTGGAGTGGGTTGCCATTTCCTTACCCAGGGGATCTTCCCCACCCACGGACTGACTCCTCTGTCTCCCGCATTGTAGGCAGATTCTTTACCTACTGAGTCGTTGGGGAAACCCACATAAGAGCTGCTCAATAAACATTTCTGGACTTTGGTAACAATGTGGATACAGGGGAAAAGACTCAGAGTGTATTGGATGGATTTAGAGTCTACATTACACAGCAGATCCTATTTCTTAACTTGACAGTTTAAGAAGATCAGAGTTATTCTTTTCTGAAAGAAGTAGAAAGAATTTTTAAAAAGTAGAAATATAGTTGTCTTTAAATTTTTGTGCTTTTACTGGACAAAAGGGGAAGTAGACTGTAAGATTTTTAATACCTTTTCAAGCCATATAATTATCTTCCTTTTTATATAACAGCAAATAGGATATCACATTAAGATGAGTAACTAAACCAATTCATTGTCCATATTTAGAGTGATTTTTCTTAAGTGCAAATCTGATCATGTCATTTCCCATTTAAAACCGTTCAGTGATTCCCTATTGTCATCAGGATGAGAACTAAACTCTTCTTAATAGTTTCCTTATTATTATTTGGCACGTGATTTCTGGCCTCAATTCCTTCCCAACCTTACACCACCTCCTATTAGTAAGCATGCCCTCCTCCAATTTCAACTCAACTGACCTACTTTGAATTTCCTGAACACTCTGTGCTCTCCCTTCCTTTTTAGGTCTTTCATGTGGTTGCTTCTGTCAGAAATTCTCTCCCTCAGTCCTCTGCCTACCTACTCATTCTTTTAATTTTTTTTAAGCTGTAAATATTTCAAAAAATTAAACACAGAGATACAGAAAATAATATATAAATGATAACTTAGTCATCTAAATTAAAAATATTAACATTTTACATTTAAAAACAATTAGCATAATATTAATTAAATTTAGATTAAATGCTACATTTCCCGCCCTTCTGCTTCCTTCCATTGAAGGAGCCCCTCTCCCCAACACTGTGTATCATTCCCATGCATTTTTGGTACTTTTACAGATATGTTTATTTTCATAAATTAGAAATTTATAATTAGGTGTTCAAAAGTAGGAAAAACAAAACTATGTTCTGTATAAAAACTATGTTTTGTATAAAAATGTAAGATATCAGTCAAATAAAAACAGGTGAATATTCCAAGGAAGTATTTCTTTGAATTTCTTAAGTTGCATGGGTATATGTTTATTATAAAAATGTAAGAAACTAAGATTAGAAATAAGATAACACAGTCAATCTCAAATTAGAGTCTGGAGGCTCTATATGAGATTGAAGTTGTGTTAATAAAAAGACATGACATTTTACCCGTTTGTAAGGTCGTAGATGTGATATGTTGCTGTGTAAGAGTATCTCCAAAGCTGTTAGGAAGAAAAGAGGCAAAGACAAATTATGATTCACAAGAGGCTCAGGTCAATAAGGTAGAATCATAGATCACTCAGTTCAAGGTTCAGAATTATAAAAGAACTGTTTTCACAAAGCACTAGGAAAGTGATGTTTCAATTCCAAATGAGTGTCATTTAAAGAGTTTTACTGTGAACTTCTGTGCTGTTCATCCAAATTCCAGAACTAATCTCAGCAGTGATTCAACCCTTACTCCATAAAAAGTATATCCAAAGACATTTCTTAATATAAAAAGCTTTTCTCTAACACACTCTATTCTAAAAATTGTTCCCTTTCTACTTAACCTTGATTGAAGTAAAATCACTACAATTTCCAAGTCCTGTAAGGATTACCCTGTACCTGAGTAATTATTATAGTATCCTATAAAACTGGATAAAGCTAATTTTATCCATCATATAGTTTTCTTGTAAAATGCTTGCTTTTTTTTGAGCATAGCTTTTTGTTTTAAATAATACATATTGAAAAAATAAACAAGAGATATACAGCTTGTAATTCCTCCAGAAAAAACAAAACAAAACAAAAAACTGCTCTTTTTTTCATTGTTTATCTGCACTGTTCAGTTCAGTTCAGTTCAGTTGCTCAGTCATGTCTGACTCTTTGTGACCCCATGGACTGCAGCACGCCAGGCCTCCCTGGCTACCACCAACTCCCGGAGTCTACTCAAACTCATGTCCATTGAATCAGTGATGCCATCCAACCATCTCATCCTCTGTCATCCCCTTCTCCTCCCATCTTCAATCTCTCCCAGCATCAGGGTCCTTTCAAATGAGTCAGTTCTTCACATCAGGTGGCCAAAGTATTGGAGTTTCAGCTTCAGCATCAGTCTTTCCTATGAATATTCAGGGCTGATTTCCTTTAGGAATGACTGGTTGGATCTCCTTGCTGTCCAAGGGACTCTCAAGAGTCTTCTCCAACATCACAGCAAAAGCATCAATTCTTCAGCGCTCAGCTTTCTTTATGGTCCAACTCTCACCTCCTTACATGACCACTGGAAAAACCATAGCCTTGACTAGATGGACCTCTGTTGGCAAAATAATGTCTCTGCTTTTTAATATGCTGTCTAGGTTGGTCATAACTTTTCTTCCAAGGAGCAAACATCTTTTAATTTCATGGCTGCAATCACCATCTGCAGTGATTTTGGAGCCTAGAAAAATAAAGTCAGCTACTGTTTCCACTGTTTCCCCATCTATTTGCCATGAAGTGATGGGACTGGATGCCATGATCTTAATTTTCTGAATATTGAGTTTTAAGCCAACTTTTTCACTCTCCTCTTTCACTTTCATCAAGAGGCTCTTTAGTTCTTCGCTTTCTGCCATAAGGGTGGTGTCATCTGCATATCTGAGGTTATTGATATTTCTCCCAGCAATCTTGATTCCAGCTTGTGCTTCATCCAGCCCAACATTTCTCATGATGCACTCTGCATATAAGTTAAATAAGCAGGGTGACAATATACAGCCTTGACGTACTCCTTTCCCTATTTGAAACCAGTCTGTTGTTCCATGTCCAGTTCTAACTGTTGCTTCCTGACATGCATCTGTACTATAGTTAAGTAAAGAAATCAAGTATTACTTTGGATTTTATTTCTTAAAGGGCTTTCAAACTTTTGGCAAAGAAACTCCAGCATGTTGAAACATGTCCTTCTGAAGATCGCAAGTGACCAAGACCGGTCCACTGGAAAATAATCAGCTGTCTGAACAATGGGGAGGGGCAAGCTTGGCTTTTCATTCTCTGCATGGAGGGAGTTTTGCATCTCAACTAAATATGAAAAATGGCAGTTAAAAGAAAAGGTTCTTGATCTGAAAGTAATTGTTAGAAGCTGAATTTGATATAAATTCTTTTGCTAGTATAAGTAGAAAAAAATAAGGTGATTATCTTCCCTCATAGCCTCATTCAGGAAGGGGAAATTAAGTAAGGCTGAACAGTCCAGCAATGGATACTGCTATACTACACGAGGCTTTCAAAGACACAGATTAAACTGTCGTCTAGCCACTAGCTATATATTATTGTGCTTGAGCAAGTGAGTTAAATAAGCTACATTGTGATAGTTCCATTTTAAATAATAATAAATATTAAAAAATTTAAAATTTGTGAGAATTAACTAATGATTTATGATGCCAAATAACATTTTTATGATGAATATCGGTGCGCCCAAAGTAAGTTTTTCCCTCAGGATGAAAGTAATTTTTAATATTTTATGATAGCCAGACAAGAATGCCAAATTCTGAATTATTTGTATGTTACTGTTATGCTTTGGGGATTGAACTAGAATTGCATTAATTTCTCAAATATTTAGAGATAAAGAGACTCTTGTTTCCTCTTTTATAAACCAGTCTGTGGGTTAATAGGAGATACAATCAGACAAACCCAAATTAAATCGTCAATACCTTTGAATAATCACTTTCTAGATACGCAAATTGCCGATCAGGTGATAAACCATAATTTGAAGCATTCACACTTTTCTGAAATCATGAAGAAGTTGATTAGAAAACAGAAAAAATAACAGAGACATATACATTTATAGTTCTAAGAGAATATCATATCATTGATATACTCCCATATATACATTAAAAGTAATTCTTTAAAAGTTTAGGTAATACCTACCATATACAAAGAAATTTACTACACTTTAAGGGATGACAGTATGATAAATAAGATACACTTTGTGATTTCAAGAGGCTTATAATATTAAACTTGTAAATAAATAACATTATAATTTAGACAGTTATATACGAGAGAGGTAAATAACAGCACTGCAAAAATTTTTAGGAAGAAGTGATTAAATGCAAATGAGAGGATCATTTGTTGCACAGAGAAATATCAGCCAAGCTTGACTCTAAAAGATTGCTAGACTATTGAGGGTAGAGAAAGTAGGAGGTCCAAGTGCCTAGGACAGAACAACATGTGCGTATGTACCATAGGACTAGTCACTGAGCATTTACTGAGCACTGTTCTAAGCACTTTCAAATGTTATTGTATTTAATTCTTATACTAACCCAAAGTGGTATTTTATTATTCCTACTCTACAGAAGAATCTGAGGCACAATGAGAATGGTAGAATGTGGAACCTCACGCACAGCCCCATAATTAGTAAATGAGAGCAAAGATCTGAACTCAGTTTGCCTGGCCAGAAGAACTGAGCTTGTATCTCTTATCTCATGGGATACCAGTTCCACAGAGGAAGAAAAACACTAGTAATTGAGGAGGCAAGGATAGTAACCTAATGTGACTAGAAGAGAGAATCGGAGGATAACTATGGTGGGAGACAGCTGAGAAGGCAAGTTGGGTCCAGATCAGGGGCTCCGAGTTTGAACTCTATTCCTTGGTCAGTGAAGAGCTGGCAGAGGTTTTTGTGGAGGAAGATGATGGTGGATACATACCATGGTGGTATTACTCAAAATGGTATATGATTCTCCTGTTTCAATATTATAAAATACTACATTATTATCTGTAGATTGATGAAGATATTCTTGTCCTTTAAACAAGAAGGAAAACAAAACTTGAAATGATCTCCCTTAGCAAGAAATACATTTATAACAAAGAAACACCTCCCTTATTTTATAGACAGACTTTTTTTTCCCCCTTTCTGTCCAGTACACATTGCTTTGTCAAATTTAAAATAAGTTGGAAAAAAAACCAATAAGTTGATGGTGGAAGAGAGGAAAGGATGCTTTCCTCTACTTTATACAAAAATGCTGTATTTGTCAGTAGAAGCCTTATTTTACCAGTTCAGCGTGATTAGGAATAAACTTGGATTTTCTCTGCTTTACAAGGAGAATAAACTAGTTTAAATGGCATGTTTCTTTTGCAAATGGATTCCATTTAGGCTGTTTTTGACTTAGTTTAAAACCTATTTATATGCATGTTATTTTCTAAAGAGAAAACAAAAATATTCAATTTTTAGTGGCATTTTAGATATAAATTATAATGTATGCAATTTAGTTTCTTTTACCATTTGTTTGATTAGACTCATTTAACAACTCACTATTTTGAAAACCTATATGCAAATATCAATTTTATGGCCCTTAAAGGATTTGTCTTCAGGGTAGGATTTGTTAATTTCTTAGATTATCTAGATTAACAATGGAATTTCTTTTTGTAAAATTCTCATGACCTCTTTTAAATAGGTGCTTGTTTCCTGTTCTGAAAAGCTATAGCCTATGCTCAGTTTATTCTAACAATGCATTCTCAGATTTTACTGTTCTGCTAAAACTACTACTGGCATCATTATTATTGAGCAAATCCTGTCCAAGTAGTTCTGTCAAAAATGCTTTGGTGGCCACTTGGCTTATCTAAATAATTGTTCTTTTAATCCGTTTCAACTAAGGTGGCTTATGTTACAATAGAGATGTGCTGGCACTAAAAACACTAAAATCACACATTTTAAAAAAATGCAAAAAATAATTCACTTACCTGAAATCCAATTTGGAAAAAATGTTTTATAAGAAAATGTCCCATTTAAAATATCCTTCAGTGTGAGTGCTCGTGTTGTACTCTCTTCAGAGTTGTGAACTATGGGAAAGGAGGAAACACATCATTACTTAAAAGAAGATGAATAACTCAGATATCTCTCAGATACCATATAAAGAAAAGATCTGCCATTGCTAAACCCTTGTTTTTTTGTGTGCATGCTCAGATGCTCAATTGTGTCCCACTCTTTGTGACCCTATGGACTGTAGCCCACTAGGCTTCTCTGTCCATGGGATTCTCCTGACAAGAATGCTGGAGTAGGTTGCCATTTCTTCCTTCAGGGGATCTTCCTGACCCGGGGATTGAACCCACATCTCATGTATCCTGTACTGGCACACAGATTCTTTACCACCAGCCCCATTAACTCTTGTCCTAATGACTATGAGTATTATTTCCTTTTTTGTAGAGAGGCTAATGAGGCTTAGAGAAGTAGCTTGATGCCCGAAAGGAACACGTTGTGGGAAAAACTCGAGACGTGTGAAGGAGACCACGCTGAGCAGCAGGGACATTATTCTTCAGGCAGTGAAGAACTTTCAGAGATTTTTAAGAAGGAAGATGAGATGAGACTCCAACAACTCAAGGTCTTACAAAACTGAGCTTGCAGACCGTGCATGCTTAGTTGCTTCAGTCATGTCCCACTCTTTGGAGACCCCATGGACTGTAGCCAACCAGGCTCCTCTGTCATGGAGTTCTCCAAGCAAAAATACTGGGTAGGGTTGCATTTCCTCCTCCAGCGTATCTTCTCAACCCAGGGATTGGCTCCACATCTCCTGCAGCTCCTGGTGGATTTTTCACCACTGAGCCACAGGGGAAGCCCATGTACATTTGACTAAAAACTCAGACTTTTAAGCAGTTCTTTGCAGTTCCTCACACGTGCTTGGCTTAAATTTCTATCAACTTATAAATGAAATATTTTAGCATCCCAATTGGTCAGGTAATATCAACCAGAATCCTTACCTTCAGACATCTCAAGAGAGACATTAATGAATGCAGACAATTTCTTATCCAAGGTAGGGATTTTTATAAAGACAAAGTAGACCAGAAGAAAGGAAAATCACATCATCTATACAATTGACTTTGGAAATTCCAAGAGTAGAGGTTTTCCATGTAAAAACTAACCTAAAGTAGGTCACAAACCACAAACAAAACTCAGATGTATTTGAACCCTCCAAGACAATTATGTGTTTCAAATGTGATTTCCATTCTCAGACCAAATTCGTTGTAGAGCCTGGCAATGGTTTGCTACACAAGAAACTATGGTGACCAACTTCCAATCCTTCTTCACATCCATATTCCTGTTCTCCATTTCTCCTACCTTATCCCTTCTCCAGACCATTACTTATAGAACCAAAACAGGAAAGTGTCCTACACCCTGAAGAGGATATACGAATCTGGTATTTGCTCATATAAAAATAAAACGGTCAAAGATGAGCTTTAACTTTATCTTCCTACTAAACTCTTCCACAACTTTCTAAGACTCTCAAGATAAGGAACAAAACCATTAGTCTGGATGATAGGCCCTAGCTGATCTAGGATGATCTATCTCTCCAGCCCTTTCTTACCCTTCTCTCACTACTTCTAGATTCTAAACATGCTGGACTTTCTGTTCCTCAAATACTTCTTTCTCTAGAGCCATTGCACCTCTTTTCACCCTCTCCCTTCTCCTTATAACTTATTTTCAGCCTTTTGTGCTTAACATAAGAGCCACTTCCTCCAGTAAGCCCTTCCTGACCCCCTGGTTTAGGTCTGGCTCCCTTGTTATACAGTACCATAGGCCAGGTTCCCTTTTCAAAGAACATTTGTCTTGGTTTGTTATCTTGTATGCATTTGAGTGATTATTTTTTTCACATTTCATTACCTCCCACTGTGTTCTCAAAAGAGTCATGTAAGGCCAGGGACCATGTCTAGTTTTGATCACCACCATATCCCTAAGGTCTAGAACATAATAGGCATTTAGTAAATACTTGTTGAATGAATGAATACATGAAATGAAGGATTGATGGGTGGATGGATGAGATTTGTGCCCTCTTCTTTACAGAATGTTTCTACTACCAATTTCCTATATTGGGTAAGTCAATCTCTGGCATCACAGCTTGCTTACCTATAATGTAAAGGACTGGACTAGAAAATGTTGATAATACCTACCATGTCTACCACTTTAAATTTTGGAATTTGAGAAAAATATGCCTCTATTAACTATACAATCACATAAGTGAAGTGCCATACAATAAGGTCCAAGGGACCAACTGGATAATAGCATTTTTGGAGGTTTTAACTGATTCACACTGACGTAAGTATGCTCCAACTTTTTATTAGGACCCAGTTTTCTTCTTAATTTACTAAGCATTATCCTGGTAGCTAGAAGAACATAAGTGACTGATGAACCCCTTTGCAACCAGACACTAAATTCTTAATGAATGAAATTAGATTATTCTAATAATCACGTTTGTACAGGTACTTTGCATCCTAAGTTCTACATGCTATACAATTATTTGTAATGAAAGTGCTTCTAATTAATTAAATGATCTTGTACAAAATTCATACCATTGATTTGGTAATTCCCATTCAATGAATAAAATACCATTTTACTACAATAGCATTAGTATAATTGCTAAGTATTTTAATTTGATTTTATTTAACTTTCAAGAGCAAATTGCAATCTGTTTCTAAATAGTCAAGGGAAAATTCGAGTACTATTTACAGTGGAAATTATTTTCTTTTGAGATATATTTAATTTGTGTCTTCATAATACTGAATTTATAGATGAAAAAAAATTTAGCTTAGTGAATCCCTGTATTATGAATACCAAAAAAACTTAGATAATTGTTTTTTAAAAACATTTTTAGTTACTAATTCAATAAATTAATATAATCTTGGTGACATCTTTTTTGTCTAGCGTGAATAATGCTTTGATTATGGCTAATGACTTATATAATAGATTTTCCTATTTAAGTATCCTTGAATATAATTTTCCTTTCTTGCAGTTATGTTTAATTGAGAGTTCTTAGCCATAATTAGTCTTCATTTTTATAGAAGGTTAAATTAAGTGAGCTAATTCAAGTGTAACATTTAACTCTATGTTTGGCAGTCAACAAATGTTTGTTATTGTCATAGCTCATCATATTCTTGAAATAAATATTTTTGATCTGTGTTTCCCAAACTAATTTGGCCACTGAGATTTTTTACAATATCTACTAAAATCACAGTGAAGAGGGCATGGCAATCCACTCCAGTATTCTTGCCTGGAGAATCCCCATGGACAGAGGAGCCCAGTGGGCTACATACAGTCCATGGGGTCGCAAAGAATCAAATGCAGCTGAGCAACTAAGCACAAACACACAAAATCACAATATAGGAAATGCAGTTTCAGATTATGCTATTAGTATATAAAGGTCAATTTTTATTCTAATGTAATGGAGTTCATCATTTATACTTGGAACATCTTGGTCATCCTAGGGCTTCATAACTGAAATAGTCCAGTCATGATCATAGTACAGTTAGTACTAATATCACACATGGGATAGATAAAATTAATTAAAAAACAAGAATTTCAAATTATTTTTAAATTCCTACTCATTTTCCTTTGTTTGTCATTAACAATCACGCTGATTCTTATCAGATTTCTCAAGATTTCAAGGATTAGTTATTTACTCTTTGTAACCTCTAATTTAGATTATCCAGGAAAGTTATGTGAGAGTAAGGGTATATGTCATATTACTTCTCAGCCAGTCATTTATTTTAAATGGGTGCATAGTAGCTATGCAACTGTGGTATTGGAAAAGGCTCTTGAGAGTCCCTTGGACTGCAAGGAGATCCAATCAGTCATTCCTAAAGGAAATCAGTCCTGAATATTCATTGGAAGGACTGATGCTGAAGCTGAAACTCCAATACTTTGGCCACCTGATGTGAAGAACTGACTCATTGGAAAAGAGCTTGATGCTGGGAAAGGTTGAAGGCGGGAGGAGAAGGGGATGACAGAGGATGAGATGGTTGGATGGCATCACTGACTCAATGGACATGAGTTTGAATAAGCTTCGGGAGTTGGTGATGGACAGGGAAGCCTGGCATGCTGCAGTCCATGAGGTCACAAAGAGTCAGACACGACTGAGCAACTGAACTGAACTGATAGTAGCTATAAATGCTAATGATCTAGAGAACTTAACATATGTCACATTGACTCAATATCTGTGAAACAATTTAAATATGCATTAATTATACTGCTAATTATCATAATGATAATAAGCCCCACCAGCACCCAGGAAGTGATAAGGTTAACACCTTACTGAACACATCAAGAGGAGCCAGCTGTATTTATTTGGAAATAGGGTTTGTGGCACAGCTTTGGGATAGGTGATTACTCCTAACCTTGCATGGGGTGTAACCAGGGGTCAAAAGGTATGATTATCCTGGAGTCAGGTTGGGCTCAGAGTGTTACTGAATCAGATGGGGGGAAATTTACATTAGGCATTCTTTTCTTCCTGCTGAAAATGACCACACGTTCATAATAGAATAATGTACCTGCTCTAAAATGATGGATTAAGTCACATACTAAGAGTTATAAAACATGTACTTAGAATTTCCAATCTAATTGCTGGTTCTTTGTACCAGCTAGGACCATGCTCGGCATATAGTAGAAGAATAATAAATATTTGTTGAATACAAAAATAAATCAACTGGACAGATTTTATTTTAGGCGTTTTTTTTTTCTAATCCTCCCCTAAAGATACACCTACCCTTACTCTTTACCATCCTGTCCATGTTGTAAATTTCATATATAAACTCTTCTACCTGGACATCATTTAAAAGTGTATCAGAATTTTGTCCTTGGAGTTAGCAGGAGCACTTGTTTGAAAAACAGATTCCTAGTTCTTATCTCAAATCTACTGATTCAGAATTGGGGATTAAGCCCTGATTTTCATTTTTGTTCATGCCCCACTGGTGAGTCTTCTTCAAAGAATCCAAATTTTGTGATTTCACTGAATCTACTTGGTTCAGTGTTCTCCTATGCCTATCAGTTGAATTTCTCACTGCCTATGAACTCC